GTAAGTCTGCTTATAGCACTGTAGGCTTTCTCTAGCCTGTTTCTCCAAACTTTTCCAAATTCCTTCCACAAACCAGTTCCAAAGTCTTAAGAACTGCATGGTAAGGTTTAGTCACAACAACAACCCCACTTCTCTGGTACAAATTTTCTGTATTTTTTACTTTTTTTTGTAACTCTGAGAGAACAATCCACAGGAGGAAGGATCAATTTAGGCTCACAGTTTCACAGCGTTGAGGCCACGGTTGCTTGGCCCTGTGAGTTTGGGCAGAACATCATGTTGGTGGGAGAACATGGAAGAGAACATTCACCTCATGGCAGACAGGAAGCAGGGATGGGGGAAGGGGGGCTGGGGGAGAACAAGATACACCCAAGGACACATATCCAGTGGTCGTCTGCAGCTACGTCCTCCTTCCCAGAGTTTACACCCAAAATAGCGCCAACAGCTGGGGGCCAAGCATTCAACGTGAGCCTTTTGGGGGCTATACTTCTTATCCAAACCATAACAAATGATCCTCTATTTTATTTCAACAGTGTCTAACTATGAGGCCCAGGCTGGCCTCAAACTCTCCATATTCCTGCCTCACCCTCTTGAGTGCTAGGATTGCAGGTGTGCATCACCATGTAGCTAGAGAGACTATTGAGGTGTTGAAAATGTTCTTTTCTGTATCTTGAGCTGAGGGACAAATATATTCTACGCCCATATGTATTTAAAAATTCACCCAGCTGTATACTACTGACGATTGCCTAGTTTACAGTATCAAAGTTTTACTGTAATAAAGAGGTGAAAGATCAAATGAACAGAGGCCTCCCTGGAGTTTGTTTTTCTACAACCCTAGGAAATGAGGGTTGGCGTGGGAGGGGCCATTCTCGGAGCCTGGTAAACTTAAAGGATTCTCACCAGGATCTCAATCACACCATCTCTGCCTGCTCAGCATTGGGAATTATAGGGTCCTCTCATCCCTGCAGAGTTGGCATAAAAAATATTTTGGAGTGAAAGCATTTGAGATACAGAGATGCAGGAAGCCTTCATACCCTACTTTCTTATCTGACTAGGCAGAGCCTCCCCAAACATGGAGGTTGACAGTTTCCTGACAATTCCACTGCCTTGGAGCCAGACAGATCCCATTAGCATCAAAAAGCCCAACAGACCCTTCCATATTTTCCCAGGGTGCCCCGAAGCCCCTCCCCTTTTGTTAAGTTTGGTATATAAACCTTTGGTTCTTCAGTGAGTCACTCATTACTGAACAACTTCCAGTATACTACTTACACATTTAGTCTTTTTAGACTTTACACATTTAGTCTGTTTTCCTTTCAACAACCCAGAACAAATTGTTTGTGGCCTGTGGAGCTAGGATTCAGCTCAGTGGTCTAACAGACCTTTGAACTTGAATTTCAAGGACATTTTACCAACGTAACTCTTTCTATCAGGCCCTTAGCATGCCAGTGCTCTGGGCTGTACTTGAGGCCCTCGTCCTGAGTCAGATTCATCCCTACCCCATATTCTGGTCTCATGGGGGCAGGGGGCTTTAGAGGCAGACCTAGATGATGCTGATGACAATGCCATACTTCCAGGTACATGGGATGAAAATCTGGTGGTTATTCTTGACTCCTCTTTTTGACATCTCAAATCAATCTGGAAGGAAACATTCTGGCCCTATTTTCAAAATATATCAGGAATTATACCACTTACCCCCACCTCTCTGCTATCCTACCTCTCACCTGGACTGGACTAAAAGCCTCCTAATGTCCTGTTTCTACCTGTTCTCAACACAGCTGTCAGGGTGAGCCTTCTAAAACCTATGTTTTAGAACATAAACACTCTTTATTCAAAATCCTCCAGGGTCACCTCTCTTACCTTGCTCGGTTGTTAAAATTACAGAGGCCACTGCTTTGGACAAAGCACCTGCACTTGGTCAAACAGATCTGACTAAAAGCCAAAGGGGAGTCACCCATGCTTAAGCTCCTCCTCACCACCCAGAAAACTAAGTTGTTATGTGACCTTGTGACAAATCAGGAAAGAGTGACAGCCAGATTTCCCACACAGGCCACTTTCAGTTGACATGATTATAAAGTCCCTCTGCTTTTGTACTTACCAAAAGAAAAGAAAAAGTAACCTGATATTAACCGATCAGTCATCTCTATTTTCTGTTCTGTTTCCCTGTCCCCACCTTACAAGGGAAGCAACTTTGAAGTCCACTTTTTTTTTTGCAATGCTGGGGATCAGACCCAGGACCTTGTCCTTGAGAGGCAAGGAGCCACACCCCAGCCCATGTTCTTTTTCTTTGTTTCCTTTTTTCTGCTTTAGTCAACCCTTCCCTGTCTATGAAAACAACTTCCTCAGCTCAGCTCATTAGAACACTTACTCTGTTTTATGGAATGAAGTGTTGCCCAGTTCTAGAAACACGAATAAAGTCAATTAAGACCTTTAAACTCAATTATAATTTGTCTTTTTTTTTTTTGGTGGAGGGGAAGTGGTACTGGAGTTTGAACTCAGGGTCTCAAGCTTGCTAGGCAGGTGCTCTACCACTTGAGCCACTCTTCCAGTCCGTAATTTGTCTTTTGACAGTAAAAGCCCCCAAAGCCTACAAAGTCCTTTATCATCTGCCCCCTACCACTTTAGTGTCCCCTACACCCCAACTGGGGTGGTTCCAGCTTCACTAGCTTTTTGGTGTTTGCTGAACTTGTTGCTGCCTAGGCCTCTAGATCCTTCTCTAGCAGATCCCATTGCCTGACATATTTCTTTTCAGGGCTCCACTTGGCAGCTTCCTTCCCTCCTCTCACCATGCTGTTTAATACTGTAACCTGCATTACCCTACCAGTGCCCACGATTATTCTCCCCTGGCTTTCCTTTTTTCCATATATTCACTAATTTATTGTGCTTTCTGTTGGCCATCTCTTCAGTGGGAAGTTAGTTCCATGACAGCAGGGATCTGCTCTATCAATGGTGTATCCCAAGTGCCTGGAATGGGGCCTGACAGGTAGTAGGCACTCTGTCTATGCTTGTTAAATTAGTGAAACTAGCCTCTTTGCTCATACAGGTGAGAGCCGAGTTTGACTGAAGAAATGCTCCAAGAACATTCTGGATAAACTTGTTAAGGTCCCCAGGACCAACAATCTCCCTCCAGGTTTAGAAGTGCCCCAGATGCAGAAGAAACTGGCCCAGACTTCCTTCTCAGGGGTTCCTTATCTCCTCATTTGCAAGAGGCTGTTGATTATCTCAGTGATAAAGGAAAAAGGAAATGGAGTGGAGGAGTCCCTGGTAGGGTAAAAGAGGTATTCACCTGAATGCTTGTTAGCAGATTAAGCCAGGTCTAGGGACCTACCTGCTCCAGGAATGAGGAAACCCCTCGCCTAGCCCAGATGGGGTGGGGTGGGAGAGGTAAGGGAGGTGGCCGAGAGGAGCTGCATTCTTGCTGGGTTTCTCCCTCACCTTCTCTTGGGTGAGCCTTGCACTGGATCACCACTCCGAGACAGGATCTCTGAGTCCAGGCCCCAGCCTCCTCTCCCCACCCAAAACCTTCCACAGGGAGTCCATTCTCCCAGTTTATAGAGTGAAGAGTTGAGTTTGAGTGGAAGGATGAAAGGGGCTCAGTCTACAGACTAATAGTGTCCTTGGAACTAAGGCCCCAATGTCATGTTGTCCCCACATGGACCCCTTCCACCTCTTCTGGGAGAGTCTTCCTCTTCCATGCCCTAGGAGGACGACTCAATCCTGGCAGCACAGCCTTTCATTTCAATATGGGGTAAAGTTCTAGAAGACAATGACACATACGTAATACAGAATCCCAGACTGCAGGGCTAAGAAAACCTTGTGGCTCTTAATGACTGAGGCCCAGAGAGAATAAGTGACTTGTCCAAGATCACACAGCTCCCAGGGCCACCCTTAGGGAAAAAGTTGGAAAAAGAACCTGGAGATCTGATCTAGTTTTCAATTTCTTCCCCGCTCTGCCTGAGCTTTGTGATTCCTCCACCCCAGCGTTGCTTTCATCAGAACGTTCTTCCCTAAAGATACTTGTCTATCCATTCCTTGTAGCTATAACAGCTCATGTCCTTGGCCCCTTGAGGGAGAAAATTCTCTATGGAAATATCCTTCACACTTCACTCCCCTTCTGTGCACTGATTCCCTGAGTGTCCCTAAGTCATCACCCTTACCTGTCCCCTCCTCTCAGGTCCTGGGACTCAGATGAGCATGCTTACCCTCTCCATCCTGGTACCTCCAGCCTAGGTGGGGACATGGTCCCAGCTTTACTTGGATGCAGTGCCACAGGATGTTGGGGACAGAAGGATATTAGAGATTAGAGTCCTGCCCCACCTTGGGGAGCTGTCTCCTTGAGCTCTCAGACGCTGAGTCTTCTCTCCTTGCTTGAGGATCAGAGCGAATGTCAGAGCTTACTCTCCTTTACCAAGAAGCTAAGATACATGGTTTATTTTTTGTTTTTGTTTTTGTTTTTGTTTTTTTGATGAGCACTAACTGTGTAGCGGGCACTGTGTGAGAGTTTTACAACCTCACATAGTCCTTACAACATCATCCTGCTGAGGTAGAGACATTATGCCTATTTTATAGATCAGGGAGTTGAGGTTCAGAAAGGTTCTCTAATTTGCCCTAGATTCTAGAGTTGATAAGGTCTAGGATCAGGAATGAAACCCAGCTCTGTCCATGAAACCCAAACCCAGCATGGGTAAACACCATCTCCCACAACCTCTCCAGCTGCAGAACTGAGGGGGTAAATATAAGCATGGAAATGATTCTGTATCTTTAAATCAGCCTTCAGATAGGAGAGGTCACTGGGCAAGGGGGGCAGGAAGGTAGCTTGCTCACAGCCCTGACCTGCCAGATCTAACCCTGCACATTTGTGTTCACCTGTTGCATCCTGGAAACTACCTAGTCACACCTAGGCAGGTGGCCCGCCCCTCTCTCTGGGTTAAGGAAGCAGAAAAAGACCGTGGTGAGAGAGGCAGTGGGCAGGTCTGTGGGCCAGTGGTGGCCACAGCCCAGCTAGGATGGGCTCTGTCTGGGGCCTCGCTCTGCTTCTTTTCTTCTGCTGGGAGGCTGGGGTCTCTGGGAGCTCTACAGGTAAGGGGGTGAGAGGGACTCTGTGGGCTTCCCCCTGGCAGGACTCTGGGTGTGAGTTTCAACATAGGCAACCCTTCTGGGCCAGGGTAGGCTCTTTCATTAATGACAATTAACCACAGGCTGTATGTGAACTATGGCTATTGTCAGTAATGAGCTTAAGCATGTGTGACACTACAGCCACCTTTGAGGCTCTCAGAGCTTGTCTTTAGTGCAGGTGGCAGTGTAAGTGGGGTGAGGGGTGGGGAGGTGGCAGCTGCTTATAATTCTGCCTAAAGCTGAAGAATGTGGCTTAACAAGATTCAGGTTCCTCCAAGTTTGTTGCCTAGCCTGGACTTCCTTCCAAATATGGCTTTTTGTTTGGAAAGTCCAACGACAAATGGCTCAGACCAGGGAGATTCTGAGAGACAGAGCTTTGTAATGAAAGAAGGGTGTTCACATTGATCTGTCACTAACAGGAACTGTGCCAAACTCATTGTTATATATATTTTAAAAATAGACTTTTTAAAGAGCAGTGTTAGGTTCGTAGTAAAATTGAGCAGAACGTACAGAGAATTGCCATATTTACCCTGTCCCCACCACATACAACCTTCCTGTTCTCCACATCTCCCACCAGAGTGGCACACTGGTTACATTTTATGACCCCACAAGGACACATCATTGCCATACATTCTCCTTCTTAACCCTCCTACTAACCCTATGCAGTAGGTACTAGTCTTACTGTCACCGCCACCCCTTTAAAGGCAAGAAAACCAAGGCTTATGGGGATTAAATCATCTATCCACAGATCCAGTGTTTGAGGCCAGTGCTTAACCACTTGTCCACACTGCCTCCTGCATGTGCTCACAGTGGACCTCACTTGTGTTGCATTTTCCATTCAGTGAATGGAAACCAGTGAGTTTAATTCTTGCAATCTCATGAAATAGATGCCCATAGCTCCACTTTACAGATGACAAAATGCCAGCTTGGAGCCTGGAGACTTGGCCAGGGTGACAGGATTGGTACACAGCAGAGTAAGGAGCAGAAATGGGGGCTCAAACCAGGCTCCAATGTCCCAGAGTGTGGCAACATTGTAGAGGCGGGGAGGGATGGATTCTCTGAACTAGGAGGCTCAGAAACACAGCTCAGGCTTGGCAGTGGGGAGGAGAAAGTGTTTGAAGAAGGTGATTAGCGGTTCCTGCAGAAGCAAGAGCTGTGCGCACAGCTGGGTTGCCCATGGCCCACTGCTGTGCATGCCAAATGCCCACTGTGTTAAGTAGGGTGTGTGCTTTCAAATGATATTTTGAGAGGATACAATGGGGAAGATGCTTCCTAATTCCTTGATGGCTTTGAGGATTGGAGCTTTCCCTTTTCCTCTTCCTTTGGTTCTCACTGTGTTGGCAGGATGGGTAAAGTGAAGACATGAGTCTGGGAGAGACCTAGTGGCTAGCCTAGCCAGTAGGAGGTAGGCTCAGGGCTGGCACCAGTAGATCAGTGAGCTAGTGGACAGCAGACCTAGAACAGCAACCTGTTCTCTTGACTCCTACTCTATCATTCAATGAGGCCCACAGGAGGATCAGCTTGGGCCCTGGGGCCCTGTCCTGACACCCAGCGTGGAGGTCCTAGGTTTCTTTTGTGCTCTTGGGCTGTGTGTACACCAGTGGATCTCAGTAAAGACCATCATAAACCCTCAGAAGGTCAAAAGGGGGTGCATAGTTTGATCCTCTTTCTTCCAAGAGTAGGGTTACTAGACAAAATACAAGGCATCCAGTTAAATTTGAATTTGGAAAAATGACTTTTTTTTAAGTGTATGTCTCAACTAGTGCATGAAAAATACCTGTACTAATATTTATTCACTCTCTCCTACATCTAAAAAAATTGTCATCAAAGCATGCTGGATGTCTCTCCATTCTTCCAACTTCAGGGAACAATTATTCAACCCAGGTCACCCGCTCTACAGGAAAGTGCCAGCAGAGTTTCTCTAATGCTTAAGTTTTCTGCCTCACCAGCTTCCTGAGACATGTGGAGAAGACTGAGTCCACCACTTCTGTGGTTCTGGGGTCCATCAAGTAGTGCTCAGGTCCATACTCAGGAGAGCATTGGCAAGGAGAATAAGCTCTCTTTTCCCTGGCTGCGGTACCAGGGACTCCGCCTGTCACCTGGTTTTCTTAGCAGCACACTCCAAACTCATGCTTCCCCAGTCTCCCCACCCCCAACCCCAGTCAGCTCTATAGCCAAAACCATAGCTGGGAATGGTACCTCATGCCTACCAGCAACTCATGAGACATACATACAGGTTCAAAGTCACAGGTTGACCTGGGCTAAATAAAACATGAGACTAAATCTAAAAGATAACTAAAACAAAAAAGGCTGGAGGTATGGCTCAAGTGGTAGAGTGCCTGCCTAGCAAAAGCCAGACACTCGGTTCAAACCCCAGTACTGCAAAATAAATTTGAAAAAAAAAAAAAGGAAAACCACAGATCCTTCTTGTATATTAAGAAAATACTTCCAAAGGGACACATTTGTTGAATGAGAAAAGTATCCCCAGGAAAGTGACAAGACTCTTTTAGAAAGTCCTGAGAGTCTGGTCCTTGCTCTGACATTCTTGCCTCACTTGCACCTCTGCCTACTTTGCACCACTGACAGTAGATGCAGCTGCTCACACTGCATCTGAAGGCCACAGCAACACAATCGGCTGGGATTTTGGGGCTGGCTGGCCTCACGTAAGTTGCCAGGGTTTCAGAGTACACTGGTCAGGCCATCCTCGATTTGGTGACTGCCATACAAGCCTGGGCTTCCCAGTACTACCTTCTATTTTCTCGTTTTTTTGTCTTGTTTTGTTTTGTTTTTTGGTGGCACTGGGGTTTGAACTTGGGGCCTTGTGCTTGCTAGGCAGATGCTCAACCACTTGAGCCACTCCACCAGCTCCTTCTTTCTCATCTGTATAGATGGAAAGTGGGGTAACAATGATCCCTCCTATCTTCCCCATAGTGCTTAGGGCATAAACACAAGAGTGCATATGAGGTCACCCATTGGAACACATAGCTCACCAAGTTGGTCTTACCCAACACAGGCCCCAGCACCAGTGGACCAGTCCTTTTGGTGACAGCAAACAACACAGAAGTGCCTGTCATGACTCAAAGGGTCAGGACAAGATCAGAGGGAACATCCCAGACTACTGACCTTGCTAAGTCCTCAGGGCTAAGCCATATTTCTATGCAGGCTCCAACTCCAAGCACAGAGATCATTTCTAAGACCTTAATCCCAGAAAGCATCACATCAGAAGCAGAGCCCCAGGAGACCCTGGCCATGGTCCCTGCAGCAGAGACTGGGGAAACCCCAATCATTTCTCCTGCAGCAGAGAATAAGGGGACTCTGACCACTTCCCCTGCACCACAGACGAGAGAGACCCCAACTACTTCCCCCTCAGCAGAGACCACCTCCCTCACAAAGATAATAAATTCCAACTTCATGGGTGACATTATCAACCCTATGGACACTCATGACACAAGAGGCAGTCCCAAGGGATCTGGAACTAGCACAGTTGGGACTAGTATAGGCAGTGATCCCACAGAAGTCACCTTTGACACCCTTCCTACTGAGGACAGCTCTGAAGAGGCAAGGAGGATCGTGATAGACCTCTTGACACTGGCACACACCTTCACGGAAACTGAAAGCCTATTCTCAGACAGCAGCTACCCTTCTAAGAGCTCAGTTCCTGTCCTCAGCACTTCTCAGGCCCTGTCACCTGCTGTTCCTATTCCACCAAAGATTTTAATGACCTATCATACCACCCACATTGAGATTAGCAATTACAGTTTAACAGAAATAGAAATAGAGGCCATCATCACTGGGACCTCAGACACAGATCACAGCCCAACCGAAGTGACAGCCTTGTCCACCTCTGAGACATCAGCTTTGTCCCCCTCCAGAGAGGCAGACTCACACATCTCCAAGACCACAGCCTTTGCTGATGCCTTATCAATAGCCAGTGCCAAAGAGCCAGCTATCCCAGCTACCACCTTTGAAGATACGCTTTCCACCAGTGACACCACAGAGAGAAAAACAACAGCAACCAAGGCTTCTACCCTGAGTGAATCGTTGGTGACTGTTAGCAGGAATCCCTTGGAAGAAACCTTAGCTCTCTCTGTTGAGATCCCAAGCCATGCTGAGATGTCAAGTGTGCTTACAGGCTCCACAGAGGCTGGGTCAGCAGTGGGCAAAGTGACTTCTTTAGCTGGTCCCTCAGCTTCAACCTCCAGCCCCTCAGAAGTAGCTCCCATCAAGAACTTCACCTACTCAGAGACTTTTGACACAGACAGTACAACCATTGGGTCCTTCCCCATCAGCAGACGCCTTCCTCCTTCTGTCCACCTGACTTCAGCCAACAGTAGCAGAGACAGAAACATCACCTTAGCCAAGGCCACAACCTCACCCAGGACCCCGATGAAGCCCCCAACATCTACACCCACCACTGCTTGGGTAAAACAGACCACAGGAGTTAGTGTAGGTAAGTGACTCCCCCTTGTGTGATCTTTGTGGAGTTGGGATTTGGAGTCTCCAGGTTGTCTGCATGCTTGAGGTGCTGGGAGGAAAGAAGGATTTGAGGGCCTGGGTTGTATTGTCTCACTGATGTTGTCTCTTTATCATCTTCAAGTGGTTCTTGAAAAGTCAGCAATAAGTGAGTTAGGGTGGTATATGAAAAGAGTGTGAGACTGGAAGTTGGAGAAGTGGTTGACTTTTTGGCCCTGCCTTAATAACCTGAGTGACCTTGGAGCAGTCCCTAATCCTCTTGAGTCCTCAATTTCTCCACCTGCAGCTGGGAGGCAGGGACTGCATTGGATGAGCAGTGAAGTCCTTTCTAGCTCTGACCTTCTGTGAAGGGAACTGTTGAGAAGCTACTGTGTATCAGGCAAGGCCTGAGATTTTATTTAAGACATGGCCCTCAAGCCTTAAAGCCAGCCTCTAGTCTAGCCATAGGCACCCAGAGAAGCAGTGTGTGGGCATCTGGCCCAAACTGTTGCTGTCTGAGCAGCCATGAATGTGTGGCTCTCTAGATTTACTGGGTTTTGTGTCTCAGGGACTTTGTATAAATGAATAAATTAAATAAATAGAACAAACAAAAAGAATAAATAAATGAACAGACAAACAAATGAATGGGACCAATTCTGGGAGCTCAGTGCATATCTGAGACAACAGAAACTTCTCAGAGGAGACATCCATTGTCAGTTTTGTCTTGAGATCCCAACTGTTAATTGGCCTATGGTCTTCAGTTCTTTTTTCTGTCACTCTGTCCTTGTGCCTTGTTCCTGAGTATCTTCATGTTGCCCCACCCTTTTTGGCAGAGGAAATAAAATATTAACCATTGGCTAGTGATGTAGCTCAGTGATAAATTGCTTGCCTAGACTTCTGCTTCTCTGTCCACCCTTGAAGGTGATGTAGCCACACAGGTTGCATGTGACTACTACAGGCACACAAATTGGCTGACATTCTAGGGCTAATTGGACACAAGTTGGTTTCAAGGGCTTCATAGGATGCTGGTGAGGGCATCCCCAGCTCCATAGCTGCCACAGGGTCTGCCTGGGATTCCCAGTACTACCTTCTTCTTCCTCATTTGTATAAATGGAAAGTGGGGTTTCTGTGATCTCTCCCATCCTCACCATAGTGCCCAGGGCATAAATGCAAGAGTTCATATGCGATCAGTGCTTTGGAACTCATGGCTGACCAAGTTGGTTTTACCCAACACAGGCCCCAGCACCAGTAGACCATTCCCTTTGGTGACAACAAGCAACACAGAAGTACCTGCCATGACTCAAGGGATCAGGACAAGATCAGAGGGAACATTCCAGACCACTGACCTTGCTGAGTCCTCAGTGCTAAGCCATGCTTCTATGCAAACTCTAATTTACAGCACTGAGACAGTTTCTAAGACATTAATCCCATCAGGTACCCCATCAGAAGCAGAGATCCTGGAGACCACGACCATGGCCCCTACAGCAGAGACTGGGGGGACACTGACCAAGTCTCCTATGTCAGAGACCTTGGAGAACATGACTATTTTTCCTGGAAGAGAGACCTTGGGGACACTGTCCACTTCTGCAGCAGAGACTGGGGGGTTCCTGACCACTTCCCCTGAACCAGAGACGCATGGGACTCCAACCACCTCTACTGCAGTAGCAGCCAGAGGGACCCCAACTACTTCCCTTGCAACAGAAATTAGGGATTTCCTGTCCACTTCCCTTACATCAGAAGATGAGGGGACCCAAACCATTTTCTCTGCATCAGAGACTGAGGGGACCCCAACTTCTTTCCCTGCATCAGGGACCTTGGGCACCCTGACTACTTCCTCCACAGCAGAGACCACATCCCTCTCAAAGATAATAACTTCCAACCTCACCATTGACATTATCACAAGAGGCAGCCCCACAGGACATGGAACTAGCACAGTTAGGACTGGTACAGGCAGCAATTCCACAGAAGTCATGTTTGACACCCTTCCTACCAGGGTAAGCACTGAAGAGACAAAGAAGATCATGGTAGACCAATTGACACAGGCACATACTTCCAAGGAAGCTGAGAGCCTGTCCTCAGAGAGCAGCTCCTCTTCTAACAGCTTGGCTCCAGCCCTCACAACTTCACAGGCCCTGTCACCTGACATTTGGATTCCAGTTAAGACCTTAGTGGCCTACAGCACCGCCCACATAGAGCCTACCAATTACAGCACGGAAATAGAAACAGCTTCCCCCACCTTTAGGACCTCAGACACAGATCAAAGGTCAACAGAAGGAGTGACAGCATTGTCCACCTCTGAGACATCAGCTTTGCCCCCCTCCACAGAAGCAAAATCACACATCCCCAAGGCCACAGCCTTTGCTGATGCTTCAGAGTCAGCTTCCCCAGCTACCACCCTTGAAGCCACACTTCCCACCAGTTGCACCACAGAGAGAAAAACAACAGCAACCAAGGCCTCTACCCACAGTGGAGCATTGGGGACAGTTACCAGCAACCCCTTTAAAGAAACCTCAGACCCTTCTGTTGAGACCTCAAGCCACGCTGAAGTGTCAGGCTCAACAGAGGCTGGGTCAGCAGTGGGCAAAGTGACTTCTTTAGCTGGTCCCTCAGCTTCAACCTCCAGCCCCTCAGAAGTAGCTCCCATCGAGAACTTCACCTACTCAGTGACTTTTGACACAGACAGTACAACCATTGGGTCCTTCCCCATCAGCAGACGCCTTCCTCCTTCTGTCCACCCGACTTTAGCCAACAGTAGCAGAGACAGAAACATCACCTCAGCCAAAGCCACAACCTCACCCAGGACCCCGATGAAGCCCCCAACATCTATGCCCACCACTGCTTCTGTAAAACAGACCACAGGAGTTAGTGCAAGTAAGTGACTCCCCCTTGTGTGATCTTCGCGGGGTTGGGATTTGGAGTCTCCAGGATTTCTGCATGCTTGAGTGTTGGAAGGAAGGAAGGAAGGATCTGAGGGCCTGGGTTGTACCATCTCACTGATATTGTCTCTTTATCATCTTCAAGTGGTTCTTGAAAAGTCAGCAATAAGTGAGTTAGGGTGGTATATGAAAAGAGTGTGAGAGTGGAAGTTGGAGAAGTGGTTGATTTTTTGGCTCTGTCTTTACAACCTGAGTGACCTTAGAGCAGTCCCTAATCCTCTTGAGTCTTCAATTTCTCCACCTGCAGCTGGGAGGTGAGGATTGCATTGGATGAGCAGTGAAGTCCTTTCCAGCTCTGACCTTCTGTGAAGGCAACTGTTGAGAAGCTACTGTGCATCAGGCAAGGCCTGAGATTTTATTTAAGACATGGCCCTCAAGCCTTGAAGCCAGCCTCTAGTCTAGCCATAGGCACCCAGAGAAGCAGTGTGTGGGCATCTGGCCCAAATTGCTATTTTTTGAGCAGCAGGGACCCTCATGAAAGTGAGGCTTTCTAAATGTATTTGCTGTGTGTTAGCCCAGACTTTAAATAATCAAATAAAAAAAAGAACAAGTAAATTGTGCAAATTGTGAGTGTTCAAAGCTATGTGTCTGAGACAGCAGATACTTCTCAGGGGAGACATCCATTGTCAGAGATTCCTTGGTATGTCCAGATCCTGATGACCAACAGCAACTGCCTTCCCTTCCTGTCACTTTGTGTTTGTGTGAGATACCTGACATAATCAACTCAAGGGAGGAAGGATTTATTTTGGCACATGGTTTCATAGGCCTTGGCTCCATTGATTCTGAGCCTATCATGAGGCCAAACATCATGGCAGAAGCAGCATGTGGCTGAGGCTACTCACCTCATGGTGGACAGGAAGCAGAGATTGAGGAAGGGACTAAGGACCAGTATAACCTTCAAAGGCATGTCTTTAATGACCCACTGCCTCCTACTAGACCCTAGCTCCTGAAGTTTACAAAACCTTCAAATAGTGCCAACAACTGGAATCCAGCATTTAACACATGAATCTGTGGGGGCCATTTCATATTCAAACCCTAACAGAGGGGAAGGCAGTTCCTGAGTATGCACCCTGAGACAACTTACCCTATTCAATTATCAAATCCTGTAAACCTGCACATCATCAAGTTTCCTTGCTCCAACCACCAGGCATGAAAGTAGTTAGTGCTGGGTCAGGGAGCCCAGGGGGAATTTCTCCAGAGCATAAATGGTTCTGGTGGCTGTTGGGGACTGACCCAGAGAATCCCAGGCCTGAGGCTGGCTAGTTGTGAGCAAAAAGCCTCTTTGCTGGCTCATCAAAACTTGTTACCAAACCAAATTTGTTTTTCCACATTGGAGAAGGCTAATGACTCAAGGACAAGTTTTTGGAGCAAGGAAAAAGATTTACTTGGAAAGCCAGAAAACCAAAGATGGGAGTCTATTGCCAAGAGAGACCACTTAGTTACTCAGGTATACAAAAGGGCTTTTATAGGGAGGGGAAGGAGAAGGAAGGAGGTAATAGGAAGAAAAGAATTGATGTCTGGAAATTTCTAAGTATCACTCTAGTGACCTGGAATAGGATGTTGTCTTAGTTACTCTTATTTTGGGGCCTTTAGTCTTGAAGAGAAGGAGAGAGATAAGGTAAGTTAAATCAATGACATATTATAGTTCCCGACAAAACATTTCTTGAATATGTCTATATGCAGAGTTGAACAGAAATATGATCCAGAGGTTAAAATACTAAAGAAGAAGATTTAATATGAAGGCATAGAAGTCAAGCATTTTTATCTGTTTTAATTGTCCATCAGATATCTGCAGATCCAAGTGAGGAGTCAGTGCTTTTAGCAAAAGTGGCTTTCGAATCCCTGAAAAGTAACACATATAGCCATTGTTATCATAACCCACACATCAGAGGTGTTATCAGGAAAGTATCCCAAGCATATGCTTATTTCTGTCGGTGAGATGAGTCTCCTGTAAGCAACAAATTGTTGGATCTTCTTTTTTAATCCATTTTGTCAAACGGTGTCTTTTGATGGGTGAATTAAGTCCATTAACATTAAGCGTTAGTACTGATAGGTATGTGGTGATTCCTGCCATTTAGTTGTCTTAGTTGTTTGAAGGTTTGATTGTGTGTACCTAACTTGATGTTACTCTCTACTGTCTTGCTTTTTCTTATCCTGTGGTTTGGTGCTGCCTGCCTTTTCATGGTTAAGTTGGGTGTCACTTTCTGTGTGCAGGATCCCTTGAAGAATCTTTTGTAATGTGCTTTGTGGTCACATATTGTTTTAGTTTCTGCTTATCATGGAAGACTTTTATTGCTCCATCTATTTAGAATGATAGCTTTGCTGGTAGAGTATCCTGGGGTTGAAGTTATTTTCATTCAGTGCCCGGAAGATCTCACCCACGCTCTTCTTGCTTTTAATGTTTCTGTTGAGAAGTCTGCTATGATTTTGATGGGTTTACCTTTGTATGTTACTTGTTTTTTCTCTCTTACAGCCTTCAATATTCTTTCCTTAGTTTCTGAACTTGTTGTTTTAATGATGATATGTCGTGGAGTAGTTCTATTTTGATCTGGTCTGTTTGGTGTCCTGGAGACCTCTTGCATCTGTATGGGAATATTTTTCTCTAGATTTGGGAAATTTTCCGTTATTATTTTGTTGAATATATTACGCATTCTCTTCGCTTGCACCTCTTCTCCTTCTTCGATGCCCATGATTCTCAAGTTTGGTCTTTTGATGGAGTCAGTGAGTTCTTGCATTTTCTTTTCACAGGTCTTGAGTTGTTTAATTAATAGTTCTTCGGTTTTTCCTTTAATTACCATTTCATCTTCAAGTTCTGAGATTCTGTCTTCTGTTTGTTCTATTCTGCTGGATTGGCCTTATGTTTTGTTTTGCAGTTCTGTTTCGTTCTTTTTTCTGAGGCTTTCCATATCCTGGCAGTTTTCTTCTTTATTGTTGTCTATTTTTGTCCTGAGTTAGATCCATGTATATTACCCTATACCAAGATTAACTCAAAATGGATCAAGGATCTTAATATCAGACCACAAACTCTTAAGTTGATATAAGAAAGAGTAGGAAATACTCTGGAGTTAGTAGGTATAGGTAAGAACTTTCTCAATGAAACCCCAGCAGCACAGAAACTAAGAGATAGCATAGATAAATGGGACCTCATAAAACTAAAAAGCTCTGTTCATCAAAAGAAATGGTCTCTAAACTGAAGAGAACACCCACAGAGTGGGAGAAAATATTTGCCAACTATACATCAGACAAAGGACTGATAACCAGAATATACAGGGAACTTAAAAAACTAAATTCTCCCAAACTAATGAACCAATAAAGAAATGGGCACGTGAACTAAACAGAACTTTCTCAAAAGAAGAAATTTCAAATGGCCAGAAACACATGAAAAAATGCTCACCATCTCTAGCAATAAAGGAAATGCAAATTAAAACCACGCTAAGATTCCACCTCACCCCTGTTAGAATAGCCATCATCAGCAACACCACCAACAACAGGTGTTGGCGAGGATGCGGGGAAAAAGGAACCCTCTTACACTGTTGGTGGGAATGTAAACTAGTACAACCACTCTGGAAAAAAATTTGGAGGCTACTTAAAAAGCTGGACATCGATCTACCATTTGATCCAGCAATACCACTCTTGGGGATATACCCAAAAGACTGTTACTCCAGAGGCACCTGCACATGCATGTTTATTGCGGCACTATTCACAATAGCCAAGTTATGGAAACAGCCAAGATGCCCCAGCACTGACGAATGGATTAAGAAAATGTGGTATCTATGCAGAATGGAATTTTATGCAGCCATGAAGAAGAACGAAATGTTATCATTCGCTGGTAAATGGATGGAATTGGAGAACATCATTCTGAGTGAGGTTAGCCTGGCCCAAAAGACCAAAAATCGAATGTTCTCCCTCATATGTGGACATTAGATCAAGGGTAAACAAAACAAGGGGATTGGACTTGTGCACATGATAAAAGCAAGAGCACACAAGGGAGGGATGAGGATAGGTAAGACACCTAAAACACTAGCTAGCATTTGTTGCCCTGAACACAGAGAAACTAAAGCAGATACCTTAAAGCAACTGAGGCCAATAGGAAAAGGGGACCAGGTACTAGAGAAAAGGTTAGATCAAAAAGAATTAACCTAGAAGGTAACACCCACGCACAGGAAATCAATGTGAGTCAATGCCCTGTATAGCTATCCTTATCTCAACCAGCAAAAACCCTTGTTCCTTCCTATTATTGCTTATACTCTCTCTACAACAAAATTAGAAATAAGGGCAAAATAGTTTCTGCTGGGTATCGAGGGGTTGGGGGGGAGAGGGATGGGGCGGAGTGGGTGGTAAGGGAGGGGGTGGGGGCAGGGGGGAGAAATGAACCAAGCCTTGTATGCACATATGAATAATAAAAGAAAAATGAAAAAAAAAAAAAAAAGGAAAGTATCCCCGTTAGGTTGATCACACTCTCTTTCCTCTCCTCAAAATTAGTGATTTTTAAAGTCAATTGAAAGCAAGTGAAGCTAGAGGCTTTATTGAGGTTTCTCTTTGGCTAGCTTGGCTGCAGTTGAATGTTCTCTCTGATGCCTGCAGGGTACTGTGAGCTTTGCATACACTGTCTCCTCTAATTTATCCTCCAAAACAACCTCAGGCGGTGGATAGCACTACTCCATATGACAGGTGAAGAAACAGATTTAGGGATGGTAACTAAATTGTTCTAGAAAGATGGCAATGGGATTTAAGTGGAAGTCTATTTGATTCCAAAACTCATAGTCTTCTTATTGTATTTTTATTTTTAAAAGCTTAATTTATTAACATGTTTCTATTTTAAAAGACTTTTCTTTATCGTTTGTTGATTTGATAGCACATTCCCATGAAGGCAAGTCCTCCTTTTTTATGAAAGTGGAGCATATGACAACTCAGATCTCTGCAATAGTTACTTTTTTTTGCAGGGGGAAGGAAATGCTTTCGTTTATTTCATATTTTAAGGTCATATTTGTGACCTCATATTTTGTCTCTAGATTTTATTCTTAGTGGGTTTTTTTTTTCATTTTGGTAAGAACAGTTAACATGAAATCTACCTCTTAATAGATGGGGGCGGGGAACTGGGGTTTGAACTCATGGCTTTGCACTTGCAAACTGCTTCAGCCACACCTCCAGTCTCTTCTACTCTGATTATTTTGGAGATGGAGGTCTTATAAACTGTTTGCCTGGGCTGGCCTTTAACCATGATCATCCTGACCTCCACCTCCCAAGTAGCTAGTATTATAGGCGTGAGCCCCTGGTGCCTGGCTCTCATAACAGATTTCTAAGTGCACAGAGATTGTGCAGCAGTTTTCTAGAACTTACTCCTCTTACACAGCTAAAATTTTATCCCCATTGATTAGTAACTCTCTGTTCCCTCCTTCTATTCCAGAAAGCTATTTTAAAAAAAAAATAACTGCTCAATATTCCATTCTGTTTTCCATTATTTATTTGTTTGTTTATTTACTTGGTGGTACTGGGGTTTGAACTTAGGGCCTGGTTCTTACTAGGCAAATTCCCTCCCACTTGAGCCATGCCTCCCAACCTCCCATTTATTTAATTAACCTGCTATGGGTGAACACTAAGGTTGTTTCTAGTATTTTGTTATGACAAACAATGCTGCAGTAAATTGTACATTTCTCACATGTATATTTTTGTAGGATAAACTAGAAGCACAACTGTTATATCAATTCTAATAGTATTGTGATAGGAAGCAATGACTACAAGGTGCCATGGAGAGAGGACTCAAAGAAGGACAGCACTTTCTTGCAGGGCTGCTGAGCCAGGATGGCTGGATTGGAAGACCTCTTCACCCTGCACCATCGTACAGCTGGAAGAATTGGCCAAGGGCATCCCTCATAGTGCCAGCCTCTTCCAGCACTCTCCCTGGTTGAACTCTTCCCCAACTGCCCCAGTGTAGGAGCTCCAGTTCTTGAGAGCATTCTAGATCCACTTCCAGTTCTCCTTCCTCACCTTTCCCTTTTTGCTTTTCCAGATGTGCATAGTGCCCTAAGCTATCATATCTTTCGCTCTGGAGGAGAGGACACTGCAGTGGGGACATTTACCCCAGGAGGGAATTCTCATTTCTCCTTGTATAGCAAGTGTGTCAACACAGGCACATTTCCATGTGGGAGTGCACACATGTGTGAGGAAGGTGGCCGAAGGTGGAGCTGACTTGACTGTATTGTCAATCTTCCTTCTATTCTCAACCTTTAGGTGGAGATGGAGGTTTTCTCCTTGTGCGGCTGAGCGTGGCCTCTCCAGAAGACCTCACTGAGCCCAGACTGGCGGAGAGGCTGATGAAACAGGTAACTGGGCACCTTCCAGGTCAGGAGAACAAAGCGAGAGGTTCTCAAGGATCACAGGGAACATCTTTCAAATGCAGAGCAACTGCTACACGCACAGAAGTCTGCTTTTTTTTTTTTTTCTTTTTTGTCCCCCCTTTAGTTATTTTGAAGATAGGGTCTCACTTTTTGCTGGGATGACAGAAGCACCACTGCACCCAGTTTTTTGTTTTGTTTTGTTTTTTGAGATGGGATCTCACAAACTTTTTTACCCAGACTGGCCTGGAACTGTGATCCTCCAAATTTCAGCCTCCCGTGAAGCTTGGGATGATAAGGTGTGTGCCACCATGCCCAGCTGTTTGTTGAAGTGAGGTCTGTGAACTTTTTGCTCAGGCTGACCTGAACGATGATCCTCCTGATCTCAGCATTTCAGGAAGCGAGGGGGTCTACTTTCTTACAGAGTGTTAGGAGCCAAATCTAAGGCTTCCTGTCTGGCTTTGCTTCTGCCCGGCTCCTCTGAGTTCTTCATTCTCCTCTGCAATATTAACAAATTCTTCCCTTAGCCCCAAGCTTTTCAGGTCCTAGGAAGTGCAGACCTTCTGGCCTCTGAGGGAAAGGTCAATGACATTGATGAGCAGTTAATCAGGACTCTTGACTGCAGAGTAATTTACATGGAAAAGGCAAAGTCTAAGAAACCTACCAGTGGCTCTTCCAGCTTCAGTGATGGCTGAGGCCAGCAGCTTGCTGCGATTCTGTGGACTTTCTCTTTCTCAGGCCTGATCCCCATTCTTCTTAGCCTTTCTTCATATGTATGGAAGGGTAGCTGTGAGCTATGACTCATCAAGTACTTCCTTTTCCCAAAATCTGCAGATCATCCAGAAAAGGACTGCAACAGCCACCATGACTGTCAGCCCAATTTGTACCACATAGATGGGGACGGACAGGCCCCAGACAAAATAGGGGAGCTTAGTAGAAAAATCCCAATGGATATAAACTCTAGGTTGGGAGCAAGATTGGGATATATTTCTATAACGACTTGGGGAAATTCTCTTAAAACCAGACTGTTCAGCAGAGTTTTCAGTGGTGAAATTCTAGGATTCTTGGTGCTGGTGTGAACCATGGGAAGGCTAGACTGGGTCGGCTTGGTATAGATTTCACTGGTCTAGCTCGGTATAAATTTCACAAAGGAGGAGATGGAGTACGAGGTAGTGGGAAGTGTCTAGGCTCTGCCCACAGTGCCACCAGTGAGGACAGATCCAGTGCATACTCTAAAGTGGACTGCCTCTTCCGCAGTACCCCACCAATGCCTCAAACTTGCATCTAGCATCTTTCATAGTTAATGGGGGCGGGGAGATAAGCCAATGGACATCATGTATACACTACTGCAAATGGGCTTTCCTGCCTCTTTGCCACTGGGTCACCTGCTTCAGAGTCAAAGTCCTGACTGCAACAGCCATTCAGCTAAGCTCAGCTCTTATGCCCACAAGTTGTTTCCAGGGGATGGGAAGAGGGAACAGATAGTTGGGTCTTGAGTGGACGTCATCAGGACTGTCCAGGGAGGATCTCCTCCAAACCTATATCAGGTGTAGAGGTTTGAAGTGGGTCAGCCGATAAATGACGAACACCTCTGCTCATGACGACCAAAGTCGAAAGTCTGAATCATAGTGGAAGAGGGAGGCAACTTCTCATACGGGTGTAGACCTGAGCCCCCAAACTGGAACAATTTCAGGGCTCAGGAAGAAACTGGGGAGCTCAAAAGCAGTTTAGACAGTTGATGTGCAGGAAGCTGGCCATGTAGGTTGGGCGTCAGTTCCTGTTGGGGGCTGGCCTATCCTGTGGGGTTCAGGGTTCAGAGGCATAGAGAGCTTCAGAGTGGGTAGATCTGGCCGTGAACTCTAGTTCCTACCTCTTGGGTAAGTTAACCCATATTGCCTTCATTCCTTATAAATGAGGAAACTAGCACCTGCTTCACAGGCTCCTATGAGGTTTAAATGAAGTGCGTGAAGCACTTTGCCCATGTTTATCACATGGGGGTGACCTCTCCCACTGTCCTTTCCTGTTTTTGGCCAACAATGAGCTCGTGAGCCAGAAGAGCTGGGCACACCACCTGCCTCTTTTTCCTCTCCAGCTCCGCTATGAACTGCGCATCCACGTGCCACTTGTCCAGGTCTCCTTACTGCGTGTCAAGAGGGTCTAAATACCAGCTGTGACCAGGCATGGCCTGAGTGCCAAAGGAGGGACAGTGCTGCCTAAGGCCTGGGTCTCCTCCACCGTACTGTTCCTGTGCTGAGGTGCCCAGAAGGTTCCTGTGAAGGTTGGCTGCTCCACGTTAGACGTGGCCACAGGACCCTGGCTCACTTATGCCTACGTGTATGTGTGGGGAGGGGGAGTTAGGGAACCAGAGGTGTCCTTTACTTCCCCTGGCCCGTGAGATTCAATAAAGAGAGGCCTAATCACCCAACTGTGTACTTTTCTTTTGCACTGAAGTTATACTCATTATAACCCAGAGGTCATCTATGTGACCATATGTTTTTCAAATTTTTAAATGAAAAGAAAGTTTGACTTTGCTAGCAAAAAGGGTAAATTAGTCAGGCGCCAGTGGCTCACACGTGCAATCCGAGCTACCAGGAGGTTGAGATCAGGAAGATTGAGGTTTGAGACTTGCCCAGGCACACCCAACGTAAAAAAGGACTGGTGGTGTAACTCAAGGGCTACAGCCACTTGAGCAAATGTGAGGCCCTGAGTTCAAACCCAAGTAACCACAAAAAAAAAAAAAAAAAAGCGTGTGTGTGTAGGGGGGGTAATTAAAACAGTGAGATATTACCTTTTGTCTGTCAAATAGGTAAAGACTTATTTTAAAATGTTAATATCCATACAGATGAGGGTGTGAACTTTTTTTGGTGGTACTGCATTTGAACTCAGGGCTTTATGCTTGCTAGACAAACCCTCTACCACTTGAGCCACACCCCAGCCCTTTTTGCTGTGGTTATTTTGGTGATAGTCTTGCTGTTTGCCCAGGTCAGCCTGGGCCCAGGTTGTCCTTTTTTAAGCTCCCTGCCTTAGCTGGGACGGCCTGTGTGCCACTGCACATAGCCTTTGGTTGAATTTCCTGCAGTCCTCTTGATCGCAGTCGCCCAAGTAGTTAGGGTTACAGGCGTGAGCCTGGCGTGAACATTCTTAGCGTGAATGAAAGTAGTGCAGACTTCCTGGAGGTCAACTTGACCATTTACCAAAGTCCCTTCAACCCAGCAATTTCATTTCCAGTTAATCTTGAGAAAATGGTGAAGAATCTGTACAGAACTACTAAGAAACTAGAAGGGTTTACTGAGTTCACAGTTTTGGAGGCTTCAAGTCTGAGATTGGATGACCTCATTTGTTGGGCCCATAATGAGGGCTCCCTTGGCTGGATCAAAACATGGCACAGAAACAGAAAGGGAACCAGCTGCATGCAGAAGGGCCACAGGCATGGGGTGGCCTTGCATTAGAAAAACCCACTCTCATCGGAACCAAGGATGGGGCCATTTGAGCAATCCATCAGTCTCTTCCAAGGGTTATGCCTCGTGACCGCACACGAACCTTTGGGGACAAACCACATCCAAAGCCTTGCAACCTGCATTGGGCTGGGTGAAGAACATGGCATGGAAGGAGGAAGCAAGGAACCAAGTCAGGACTATGGCAACTGAGGCTTCCCAGTATGGAAGAACTGAGAGCCGGGTCAGGACGGGGTACAGCCCACCCTGCTCCTCCCCCTGCCTAACACATGACACCTAGGCCTCCTGATGGCTGGGAAAACCCTGTTCCTCACCCTTCAGCCTCCAGAAGGAAAATGGGAATGGAATCCATGGTTTGGAGACACAAGGACAGACTTTATTTAAATAGACTTTAATCACAAGTAAACCAGAGAGTTTTGTATGTGAAAACATTTTAGTTAAGGTAGAGCCAATCACCTAATTAACAACCCGTGTGTGTGTGTGTGTGTGTGTGTGTGTGTGTGTGTCCTGCCCATCCAGGCCAGTGTCCTCCTTCACATCCATTTCTGTTTTTGGTCTTCATGGCCTTTCCTATGCACATGGATCTACTAACAAGGTCTTGTCTTAATTCCCATCATTCATTGTTCTTGAAGAATCCCAAATCACTTTTCCCCACCTTTCCCTTTCTAGTCTCCCCAAAGCCATGGCACCTGAAGGGTGGGGTGAGGGCACGGGTCCTGAGGTATGGAGGCCACAGCTGGGCTGGAGGAGGCCTCAGGATTCTGAGTCTAGAGGGTAAGAGTACTTGGCCCCAGTGAAGCCCCAGAAGTGCAGGACCACAAACGCCACAATCCCCAGCAGCAACAGGGCGCCCAGAGCCCCAAAGAGGATCCCGAAGAACGCGCCAAGTTTCATACTCAGGTGCTCACAGCGCTCGCCCCAGGACGTGTAGATGGAGAAGTTTGCACAGCTGCAGACAGAAAGAGGGAGAGTCAGAGGCAGGGAGGCCAGGCTCAGCCTCTGAAGTTCTCTGCTGGGGCCAGGGCAGGTTGTCCAGCACAGGTGGGTCTCCACTGGAGAGAGGGCCTAGTGAAACCTGTGGATGACTGAAGCAAGACCACTGGGCAAAGCAGGGAGGTGTGGTCCTTTATAACCTGAGTGTGAGCTGGGTGCGGTGGCTCACGCCTGTAATCCTAGCTACTTGGGAAGCAGAGATCAGAAGGCTACAGGTTGGAGGGCAGAACAGGCAAAAAGTCCAAGACCCCATCTCAGTCAAGAAAAAGCTGATATGGTGGCGCACACCTGTCATCCCAGCAACTGAGGGGAACATAAATACAAGAACCACAGTCCAGCATAAAAGCGAGACCCTATGTCAAAAATAACTAAAGCAAAAAAGGCTGGGAGCCAAGGCTAAGTGGTAGAGTGCCTGCCTAGCAAGTGCAAGGCCCTCAGTTTAAAAAACAAACAAATGAACAAAAACGTAGAAACCAGGGGTGTGAATAGCTCCACGTGGACCGCCCGGAAGGCTCATGCAACAGGAGCACGCATGGGGACCACAAAGTCACCCCACCCCCGCCCCCCAACTCCAACCAGGGGTCTTGGAGGATCTGGAGCCCAGGGCACTCGGAGACAGGCACCAGGGTGGTGCTGCCACCTTGATGCACTGTCCTTATGGGAGCCACTGCTTCTGTACAAGGGGACAGAAGGTGCCAGTTTCTGACAGTGTGCTTATGGAGGAGCAGGGCTGGCCCCAGACACCGCAGGATGGGTTCCATTCTCACAAGGGACCCTCAGTGTCACTCTCAGGAAGCACAGTCAGGTAGAAGAGTTTGCTACTTAACTTCCTTATCATCTCCAGAATGGCCAAACATGGCACGAACTTGTGGCTAGCTTGAGTGTCGGTGTAATATAGCATCTTTTTCCTCCACAAAGGGTCTTCTTCCCCATTGCCCCTTTCCCCTGCTCCCTTTCTCTCTGATCACACAAGGAGTCTTCCCTATTTCAGGGATGGCACCATGGCATTTCCTAGCTCCTTGCAGTGTCTTGCCCAGCATGGATTCCCGAGCACCTCCCGCCTGAGGCCCTACACACCTGCAGCGGGGCCCATTGGGCAGGTGCTGGCACTGGCCTCCGTGGTGACAGTAGCTCTCACTACATGGGGACACGCAGGTGAAGCCGCTCTGGGGGCTGTAGACCAGACGGTAGCCCCTGTAGCCATTGCATCTGAAGTAAGTCTCCAGCGTGCTAACGTTCACTGTCAAGTAGAACACAGATTTACACGGAGGGCAACCAAGTAAAAGAAATTCAAGCCTTTTCAACCAAGAGTTCCCTTTTCAGGCGTTTTTCCTGAGAAATCATTAGAAGAGTGCACAAATACACACAGCTGTGGATATTCAGATCCATGTGGCTGAAAACATGAACTATGTTTAAGCAGAGGAGGGGTCTTAGTAAATAAGTTACTATGTACACTTACCAACAGAATGACAGTTTCCAAAGTATGGAAAACTCATTAATGAAGAAAATAAGCTTTGAAGTTGCCAGACCTGAGTTGAAATTCAAACTCTACTACAAATTAGTTCATCATTTAGGGAAAATTTCCTGACTTTTTCAGTCTCAGTGTCCTTATCTTTAAAACAAATTATAAAATAGCAGTTATCTTGCTGCTAGATTTAAATACGATACTGTATGCAGAGTACACAGTACAGTGTCTGCCACACAGCACTGAAAAAGGGGAACCTTTATCACAACTTATTTAAAATATACTATAAAACACTATATTCAAACATATCATTATAAAATAATATGTCACATGAAATATGTACACAATATATGAGGGAATACATTCACAATTATTTAATGAGGAGGCCATCAAATGTTAGGTACGACTTGATTCCTTGATAAATGTGGGAAGGTCCCTAAGGCACAACAGAAAATTCAGAAGGATGTGTACAAAGCACTATTGTCTCCGGATTGAGATTACAGCTTCTTTTTCCCTCTCTGCTTTTTCTTAACTTAAGATTCCTAAAGTTTCTGCAATAAACCTATTATGCTTGTATAATAAAAATTGTGGGTTTTTATTAATGAACATCCCAGTCAGAGTTGGATTGCTGTTCCCTTAGTGCCATCCATTCCCCCCGTGACTCCCCACCCAACATGCAGTAGTTCTGAGGGATTTCACCTTCTCACCCCAAGAGGAAGGAGGCATATATTGGATTCTAGAAGCAGCATTTTCCTGATCCTGGACACAAGTAGGACAACAGTTTCTGTTGTACTGTGAGTGGTCACCGTTCTATTCTCTGCCCCATTCCAGAAAACAGGGTGGGGGCTGGTGGAGTGGCTCAAGTGGTAGAGTGCCTGCCTAGCAAGCCTGAGGCCCTGAGTTCAAACCCCAGTGCCACCAAAAACAAAAAAAGCCATAAACAGAAAACAGGGTGGGCTATTCTTTTCTCTCTGTTATTCCAGTTCAGGAAGACCAGATGCTGCCAGAGCTGAATGGAGCCTCAGAAATCCCATGTCATTTTCTCCACAGGAGTGTTGAGGCCTGGCTCGGGGAAGGTGCTTAGTAGGAGGAAGGGTATCTCTGTCACTGGCCAGTCTCCAGCCTTACCTTAAGATCCTCCAGCTGGAAGGAAAAGGAAAAAGTGAAGGAGAGGTCCTTGAGTGTGTTAAAGTGTAATGACAGTTTAGGAAAACCACAAGCAGCTGGGTATGGTGGTACACGCCTATAATCCCAGTTATTCTGCCCAGAGGCAGAGATAGGAGGATTATGGTCCAAGGCTAGCTCAGGAAAAAGTGGGAAACCCTAAAAAAAAGCAAAAGGACTTGAGGGCATGGCTCAAGTGGTAGAGCACTTGCTAATAAAGCATGAGGCTCTGAGTTCAACCCCCCAGTGCTGCCAGAGAGAGAGAGAGAGACACCATGAGCAAAATTAGCTGCAATGGTCAGACAGGCCATGGTTGGAGTAATTGCTGTGTGAAACCACCTATGTGGGTGTGTCAGGATCCTTTGTGCCTCTGCTCCGAATCCAAAATTTCTCTCAGTTACAAACAGCAACACTAAATTAGTCTGCTTCCTATTAGTCTGTGGACTTCCACAGCACACTTTTCCATCATGGGTCTGCCTGGCCTGAAGATCTGAGACAGGCTCCCTCTAGTCACTTGCCTCCCCCTCCCCTAATTGTCCTGTACTTTCCCCAAAACACAGTGACTCACAAGCCATCTCATCGCGCACATCTCTCCTTGAGATGGGGTGGAAGTTCACGTTGTTCCTGGGCCCTGGGCTCCTCTTCTGCCTCCCTGTCAGAGCCTGGCGGAAGGCCTCCACCACGGCCTGATGCAGCTGATTGTTCAGGAAGTAGATGACTGGGCCCCAAGGGCGGTACTGGAACTCGGAGGTGACTAACCAGTGTTGAATGAAACTTCCTGAGGCCATTGCTGTTTGAGAGCTGTGTGGGAAGGAGACAGTAAGGGTTAAGGAGTAGGCGTAGAAGATGGAGGGAGGGCGGGGGGCACACAGGGACAGTCTCACTTACATTAGTTGCACTTGGCTATTCTGGAGAAAGGCCGGCACATCTAGGGTGTCCAGTCTGTATGCCACCTGGGACAGATGGGGGAGAGGGAAGGGTGGGGTGATGGTGAGGCTCAGACCAGAAGACCCCTTCCACTGTCATCATCCCTGTCTGGTTTCACCTGTGAACATGAACCCAGGACCCTGAAACATTTCTCACCACCTCTGCTCCCCCAATCTCCTGCCTAGGCCAGTGATTGGTGTGGGTCCTTGCTTGATCAATCCTTTTTGGCAAGCAAAGGACGTGACATTCTTTCTGCCTCTCATTACAGGGAGAGGACCTGAACTGAATGACCCCTATCTCGCTTCTGATCCCTCCTCATTCCCTTCCCTCATGCGTACCAAACACGAGTTGTTTAGCCAGACCTTGGGATGGTCAGGTTGCAGGCGTCAGGGTGACTTAGGAACAGCTTGTACCCAGTCAGGTGCAGGAGACAAACATCAACAGATTTTACCATTTGGAGTGTGGAGTGACTTGTAAAAGTATTAGTAATTGTAATAATAATTTTTCAATGCCTGTATTTCAGGCACCACGCTAAGTTCTTTACATACATTCTAATTTAAACCTTGACACATACCTAGTTGACATAGGTAATATTATCAGCCCTTTTAATACAAATAGCCACTAAATAGTTTGTGTAATATGATCAAAGTACATCATGTGACTGTGTGGCAATGTCATAATGAAACACTTTATTATGTAAAATTTAATATATGTGCATAAAAAGTAAAGAATAAAAATAGTTTGACCATTTCACCTGCTTTGTTAAGGGTAGGCAGGGATTTGAAACCCCAGTTTACTCAACACCTGGAATGCTTTGCCTGTGACTGAAGGGTGGGCAGGGTATAGAGGCCAAAAGGTGCCCCATTTCCCTCTGGGAAGTTGGGGTGGAGGTGATATGCCTCTTTGTGATTCTTCCATGTGACATGCCAAGAGTACAGGTCTTTAAAAAAATTTTTTGGTGGTACTGGGACTTGAACTCAGGGCCTCATGCTTGCTAGGCAGGCATTCTACCACTTGGGCCAAGAGTATAGGTCTCAAAGGGCATTCAGAGTGAGGAGCTGGGGTGACTTGGCCCCCTAGCTTGCTCATAGCAAGCTGATGATTCTAACGTGTCTGGGGTCTCTAGCCTACGGTTGCCTGACTTCCCAACTCTCTGACCTCCCCTAAGCAAGAGGCTCTAGCCCCTTCTGGCGATTGAAGCTGGAGGGATACACAAGTGATGACCCAACCCTACAAAGATTCAAGTCCCCCCCTCCCCGGAGCCTGGCATGTGGCACTCACCGAGGCGTTCACATCAGCTTCTGAGGCATTCTCGCTTTCCCTGAGTGACAGCTGGATGACTCTTAAGGGAAGCTCTGCAGATAGAAGAAGATTTATTACCACATCTCATGTTTATCAGACTTATCCAAGATGTCTGCTGGCCAGTCTAGGGAGACTGCTCCATTCCATCATGACAGAAGGTCACTGGCAGGTCTCTGACCTTCACCCTCACGCTTCTTCTGTGATGGCCAAGGCACCTGTAATGCCCATCTCACCAAGCTGAGAGGCCTCTGCTTTAGTCTGTCCCCAGCAGAAGGCACAGGCCAGTGGTTCATGACATGACAGCTGGCCTCACCTGCTCCCACAGCCTATAACTCACTACATGTAAGGAGAAGTCGGAGTTCTGATCTATGACTCTGAGGAGCTGGCCCTGAACCCCAGTTTCCCCAGAGCCAAGAGAGTATGGGGTGGGGACAGCAGGGCATCTGGTCGTACCTCCATGAACAGTTGGAGTGAAACTGTTCCCAGCCAGGAGGCATTGTGTGTCAATGAAGGCTGGGGGGCAAGTACACATGGGCTGGCAGTCCAGAGCTTGGGAGATGTAGCAGTGGCCTTGGTTGTAGCAGTAATCCACAGGACAGGAGTGGTTCTGACAGACGAGAGAGTCCTCCAGAGCTGCAGAAGTATCAGAGAGGTCAGCCTCACCACACTGTGGCAGGGGAACCTGCTCATGTGACATTTTGGTTTCTTCCCCCTGCCAATGCCTGCTCAATCTGTGTTCTGCTTGCAAGCCACTCCAAACCTCAAATTATCTTTCTTTCTTTTTCCAGACATTTCCCTAAAAGACAACCTTTCTCCCTCTGCTGGACAGGTATTCTTTTACTTCTGCAGAAAGTAAAAGAGTGGCATGTTTATCAAACTCTCCATATCAGGGAAGGATCTGGAAGCTAAAGAGAGAGGACTACCAGCCTGCTTTTCTCCCTTCCCTGTTCCTCACTCCCTTACTTCCATTTCCTAGCAGGCTGTGGTTCTGCCTACTCAGGCCTCTGCTCAGAAGACAAGGTGGTCTCCTGATTTTATTTGGCTGCCTTGGGGACTGGGAATGGCCTTCTTATGACCTCCTTCATCATAACTGTGTGGCTCAGAGGTGAAGGAGCAGATGGTGGGGAGAAAACTCAAAGAAAAATGAGGCTCTCTGTGCCAGACCCCATGGTGGCTTCTCCAAATGTCCTGACTTATGAGATGCAGACCCTGGGCAGGCCTCCTGTCTCTAAAGACCCCCTGTGTATAAGGGCCCAGCTTGCCTCTGGGTCCCTGGCCTTCTCCAGATCTTCTCAGTATTTTTTTTTTCTTTTTTTAAGGTACTGGGGTTTGAACTCAAGGCCTACACCTTGAGCCACTCCACCAGCCCTTTTTGGTAATGGGTTTTTTCAAGATAGAGTCTCACGAATTACTTGCCTGGGCTGGCTTTGAACCTCGATCCTCCTGGTCTGTACCTCCTGAGTAGCTAAGGGTTACAGACATGAGCCGTCTAGCCCATCTTAGTCCTTTGCCCTGGGTTTTCCCCATTATGGCCTCTGAGCTGCTCTGCCTGACCCCTCCCTCCCTGTATAGCCTCTTCTCTTCCATCCCACCACCCCTTTTCTAAGCCCTCCTCACCAAGGTTTCCCATAGTGAGCATTCTACAGACTTGCTAGGAAAGGGGGATGGGCAATTTGCCTTTTGCTGCCCAGGACCCTTGAGATGTCACCTGGCCCCAGAATCTCTTTCTGCCAGGGCCCTACTCCTGGCTCACTCACCTGCACAGTGATGCCCATCCCCAGTCATGTCTGGTGGACAAGCCTCACAACCACTTCCTTGAATGCACTTCACATTTGGAAAGCACTGCTCATCACAGGGGTCCTTGGAGTGTTCACAGTAGTGGCCAAAGGTGTCCCCATCACACTTGCAGGTGGCCTCCTGGAATAGGTTGCCAATCACTGGGTAGCCAAGAGGCTGAACCATTAGGGGCTTCTGGGGTCTCTGTACTGACCCCTCTGGTGTGAGAACCCATGGAGCCTGAGTGCTTGACAGTTTTGCCAGCATCTACTGAACACCTGCTTGATCAGGCCAGACCTGAGAGCCCTGCCCAAAGCTACACTGTCCTTCTGCACACCCAGCCTTCCTAACTCTTCTTTACCCTGAGTCCTGTCCTTCTCACACTGTATCTCTTTCCCTGGAATCCTGGACAGAGTAAGACATGGAAGGGAGGAAGGGAGAAGAGAGGAAAGAATAAAAAAGCAGATAGGACAAGATTCACGGATTTAGGCCAACTATCTTGACAAGAAACTTGGATGGGGAGGAATTTTTCCAAACTAAAAAAAAAAGAGATGCTCCTTTAAGCTGAAGGGAGAGAGAAAAAGAGGAAACAAAGGGATTTGTGGGTGTCAAGGTAGAGGGACCTGCACCTCCCTTCCCAACACCCGAGAGACATGTCTGTGGGCTGCACTGGGTCAATGGCCAGGAAGTGTCTGCTTTGAGAAGGCCTTGAGCATCCCAACGCAGCATGACTCTCCCTGGGCCTGGGGGGAGGAGGGTGGAGCCGATGTAGGATGGCACAGAATCATGCCCAAGAAGCTCAAGGGACTCTTTTCCTATCCACACCTCATAGCTACATCTGGGGGAACTAACTGTAGGAGGTGCTGAAGTGGAAGCTTCCTGCCAGCTTGGCCAAATGGGGGTGGCACACAAAAACTCAGTTGAGCTAGAAGCAATAAAGACAGTTCCAGTTCTTCACACATGAATGAATGGCCTGAGATTGCTGTCTGCCCTACTCACCCTGACAGAGCCACCCACCTCCCAACATTCACCTTACCGAAGCACAACATTCTTTCTAGCACTCACCTCCAGAGAGGAATTGCCCACCCTGTTGGTCTGGTTATACAAACACTGGCTCTCTGCAACACAAAAGCAGACCACAATCTTGGGCCGGAATAGAGATGGCCAGTCCACATTGGCCTTTCTTGCTAGAATCTCCAGGGTGCATGGTTCCAATGTTGGTGTCCATATCAAAGTCCCATTCTCTGTCCAGGGAAGATGAGATCATTAAAGGTTAGGTGACTCCTCCAGTTTGTGGTTCAATGAACCACCCTAACTGCTGATGTTGGGCTCCTGACCCCTCTCAGCCCACCCCCAAGCTCATCAGGCATCTTCTTTGAGTAAGGCAGGTCTCCTGGGGAGATCTTGGCCATGCTCCCACCTGGAAAGAGGTCCAACTTATTGACTGTGGGTAAAATCCACAAAGTGGAATGCCATTTTCACCTGAAGAGACCCTCCAAAGGGCACCCCCCCACCTAGATCTGCACCATGATGGGATGACCTGCGGGGAGGAGGATGAAGGCCAGAATCCTCCCAACACCTCCCCAACTATGGGAGGTCCCATCCCTTGTCCTGATTTCTTGTTGCCCCATTCCTGGACTTTGCCCAACTACCCTCTTACCCACAATAGTAGGGGGAAATGCTGCTAGAAACCTGCCTTATGATTTTCAGGAAGAATGAAAGCCTCCTTGGAAACAGCAGGTTTAAAGGAGCAGATAGTAGGAAATAGACAGGAGGAACTTCTAAACCGTCACTCTTTAGGAGAGGAGCCAGTGGAAAAGAAAATTGTAGAAGGCCACTGTACACCAGGGCAGATGACACATGAAGCAAAAAGGATGCAGTCAGCAGTCCCTCCTTAGCCACAGAGAAAGAAAATGAGGAGGAGAGGTGATCAGAGCTCAGAATAAAGTCCTGGAGGGCTTTGGTTTACCAAAAGACAGTAACCAGTAAGATTAGTTCAGGGAAGGGAAGGAAAGCTACAATCCTTGTGCTTTGGCCCTGTGACCCAGATCATGTATGCTAGCCTGGGGGGTCTCTAACACCATTACTGAGAAGGGAAGGCAACCTTTGCTTGGTCCCAGCACAAAATAAATCAGACAAGGAGAGACAAGGTCAAAGGAGGGCTAAACAACATGAAAATAATGGGAAAGGTTCCAAATGAAGTATTTGAGTTTCTTTAAATCTTGCCCCACATTATTTCCTTCTTTTAATAAATATGAAAATGCTGTAAATTAGTATTTTTAATTGTTGTACTTGAATATTCTAATTATTTTATGAATGCATAATGATGATTAACAATAACTGCATATTATTAGATGGAGATGAGATGGTCTTTGAATCAACTGTGTGTGCCCAGAGTCAGCCTATCTATCAGGCCAAATCTTCTTAAGCCTGTCATTACTATTGTCTGGAGGGGGTAGGGAGGAGCACCTATTTGAATCAGACGTATCATTCTTAAGAAATGCTGGTTCTGGATATTCGAATGAAAATGTGATGGGGTGTTGTACAGAGTAAAGAGATATAAAATGAGCCAGGCATCCTAGCTACTTGGGAGGCTGAGCTAGGGAGGATCACAGTTCAAGGTCAGAAAATAGTTTGTGAGACCCCCATCTCCAAAATAACCAATGCAAAATGGTCTGGGGGTGTGGATTAAGTGGCAGAGTTTCTGCTTTGCAAGTACAAAGCCCTGAGTTCAAACCCCAGTCTCCCCATCCAAAAAAAAAAAAAAAAAGAGAGACACAATGACCCAGTTTGACTCTGACTTCATCCTCTATGCTCACCCTCCCAGCCAAAGGTTCTTACCAAAGAGCTTGAAGTCAGTGCAGTTTTTCCCAAGACTGAATGTGACATTCTTAGAGTTGCTAGTGAACTGAATCCTCTTGGTCTTCCTCTTGAAGGCTTCAATCACACTGGGACCATTGATAGACGGTGGGTTCTGATCTGAAACACACAGAGGACTGTTGCTAAGGGTGCCTGTCTTTCTCCTCTCTCCTGTCCCTATGCCTTGGGAGGCCTTCCCAGGCCTGGGACCCATCCCTGGAGGTAGGAGTTAGTCTGTGTCCCTGTTGCCTGTTCTATGCAAAACAGTTTGAGCTTGAACTGCCCATCTGTCCAAACCTTTACCCTCTCCTTTTCTATCCCCTCCTCAAACAGGGCTCATTTCCAGTTTTTCTCAAACAGAGTGTCATGCTGGATCTGGCACAAAGTGATTCAGAGAACAGGGCTGTTCTGATCACAGTTCTATATCTGGGGATGGGCTAAAAACCATAAGGGGGATATCTCGATGCACACTACATTTATCTACAAATAGAGAGCAGTCAAATCCTTTCAATTGTCTGTTTCTTGGAGCTCTGCTAATTCTACTGCATTGTTCATTCACTCATATGGTCAGTCAGCTAACAAATATATATATATATATATATATATTATATACACACATACATAAATATATTTTTCTATATACAAATAAATGCCACTTGAGCCACGGTGGCAGCCTGTAACAAATATTTTTATTAAGCATCTAATATGTGGATGCACTATTCTTAGAGCAATGAACAAGAAAAAGCACCTATGAAAACAATAAACTATGTTTAGCAGTTATAAATGCTAAGGAAAAAATAAAGCAGGAAAGGAAAATAGGAAGTGTGAGTGAATGTGAAATTTTAGAGAGGGTAGTTGAGGGGCCTCACTGAGGCCAGGAGAAGGAAGGGAGGGAGCAAGCCACATGTGGCTATGTGGGAAAAGGATCTTCCAGACAAGAGACAAGAGACAGCTGGTGAAAGTCTCAGAACTACGAGTGAGCTTCGTGGGGAATGGAGAGGTGTGGAGTGCCAGGAAAACAGTTTGCAGATAAAAAGCACACAGACTGCATAGGGCCAGAATTGCAAGGTCAGAGAGTTTTGAGCTGAGGAGAATGATCCATTAAGGAAATAAAAATTTGAAGCTTAAAGGAATGTCATGGAAGGGGGCGCCCATATCTGTTTCTTAGCTGTGGAAATGCCTTCCTGGGCCTCACGCCTCTTACTGAGGGTGGTGTTCATGAGCTGGTATGTTCCAAAGATCATCTGGGTGTGATGTCCAGTGTCTGCGTTTCCTGTGGCCAGGGTGTCATAAATGCATTGTTTATCTCCATTACAGCCAGAAATCAACTTTTCGTCCAAGGAGTTATTTCTCTTTATTAGTTCGGAAAAAAACACAGGGGTGAAGGTGGAAGGCAGAGGGTGGATCCTCTTCCCAAGAAGGCCTGTTCCATTGATTTGCCCTGTAACACAAATGGTTACATTTGATGGTGGCAGGTCCAGGGGTGGGACTACCATATTTGGACTGTGTCCACTCCTAGTCCTCACAGTACCTGACTCAGTGGGGGAAGGGTGTGGGGACAGAGTGACTTCTGGCTTCTGAGTCTGGAAATCCCTGCTCCAGGAATGGATAACCACCTGCCCCACCTTGTTTCCTGATAGATATGCAGGCGGGGGAGCTGGCGGGGGACAAATCTGGGGTGGCAGCAGAGTCCTCAGACCCTTAAAGAGGATGGAGGTCTAAAGGACCCATCCTCCCCATCCAGTGCCTCCCCACCCCTCACTGGCCTGCCCCATCAGCTGGCTGAGGCCCAGACTCACACGTCATTCCATAGTGAAAGAGCGTCTCCTCAGAGCTGTCATAGGGGATGGTGGAGCCATTGGGCATCCTGAAGTCATCTTCTGGATTGTTGTTCCAGACCCCTTAGGGACAAAGTAGGTTGGCCACCTCAGAAGGTAGCTCTCCCTTCCCTGGGGTCATCCAACAAGGGGGTCATGCTCTCAGGGTGAGGGGAGGGGCCCATGAGCTTACACCCTGCCCCTATGCCTTAGAGACAGGAGAAGAAAACCAAGGAGGAAATGGAGGAAGCTGGGAGGAATGCAAGGGGCAAGAGAAGGGAAGGAAAGGTGTGGAGATGGAGGGAGGGGAGGGGACTCGGTCCCAGCCTCCTCAGAGCCCATCCTTATGCTCCCTGGCAGCACAGGAAAAGGACAGGGAGTGAAACTCAGGGTGGTTGAAGTGGCCCCTCCCATCCCTGTCTGGCTGTATGCCCTAAGCGGGGGCTGAGAAAGAGAACTGGGCTGGGCAGGGCGGTACAGCTCTAGGTGAGAACCAGTTGCCTCCATATAGGGTCCCAGCTACTGCTTTTTACCCAGGAGGCCCTCTGTGTGGTTTTGGTACTCCTCTGGGAGGCTGAAGGCAGCATGGAGGATGTTGGAGAGAGCAGTCACTGAGATGGTCACCATCCCATCAAAGCTGGCTGAGACCTGGGAGCCATTGCGGGTCAGTAGGAGGCCAGTAGTGTTGAATATCTGTAAGCCTAGAAGACGGAGAGGACGTGAAGAGGCAGTCAGCACTGGCACACTGAGGGCCACAATTCCAAGGGGACTCCAAGGAGGGCCACGCTGGGATGGCTTGAGGGTGCCTAGTTGAGTGGCCCCAAACCATTCAGGCCACCTTCAAGGCCCTGCTTCCTGGGGCCTGAAGACAGGTGCTAACCAAAGAGCAGACTCAGCATGGAGAGAAAGAGAGAAGCAAGGAAGGCAAGTTCAATGCCACGGACCTGGGTATAGAAGCTGCTCAGACACTGCTGCTGAAGGGAGAGCAGAAGTGGGGGCCACTTTGCCAGATGCTGCACCTCCATGTTCCCACACACCACTGAAGGGTGCTGAGCAACCTGCTGAACCCCAGCCTAGGGACCTAAGGGCAGGTAGCTGACAGCTACCTCCAGCCTACCTTCTGGGTCCGTGTGGTTGGTCTCAAACATTACACTCTGGTTATTGTGCAGAACGTGGATTGTGTCATTGGACGCAAGGAACCACTGAACCTAGAAGGGAATTGGGGCAGGCCTAAGCCCAACCAGCTGGTGGAGCAGAGGCCTAGAAACAAGGCTCCTGAGAGCAACTCTGGGCTAGAACCCAGGCCCAGAGGAAGAGGAAGGTGATGGAGCGTTTGACCGTGAAGTTGTGTCAGCTGACATCTGTGGAGAGCTCAGCATGGGCCAGGCTCTGTGTTACACGTCTCTTGGGTTATCTCATCTGAATCTCACAGCAGCCCTGTGAAGTAGGGCTATAAAGAAACCAGGACACTGGACGCTCAGTAGTTGCTTCAGAGCCAAGCAGCTGCTAAGAGGTGGAGCCAGGATTCTAATTCTGCTATCAGAAAGCTCACAGATGTTTCCACTGGCAGGCTGTACCGCCCTTCTACTCCCTTCCTTACTTGGTCCTCTTCCTCTTCCTGGGCCTCAGTGTCCAGCTGAAGGTCTCTGAGGGGCTGGGGTTTAGTGCAGGGACATCCTGGGTGTCCCTCACTCACCGTGATGGGGTCCAGGCCAAGGGAGTTGTACTCAGCAGCAAAGGCAATGAAGTTGGTGGCCAGGGCTGAGTCAGTCTGGGCGGTGCGGCCCTGCAGCAGGAAGGAGGAGTTTCCATCCCTGGCCCGGATCATCAGGAAGTCCCCCAGCCCATTGAATGTGAAATTGGCGTTATCCAAGGTGACAATATGGGGATCTCCAAACATCCAGGCTGACAAAAAGGAAGTAACACATAAGCAAACCAGGGCCGAGGTCTCCCAACTAGGAAGACCCACAGGCAAGACATCTGTCCAGGCAGACTCAATCCTGGGAAGATGCTCATAAGAAATAGAACCTGCCTTTGGGCACTCGTGGGTCCCCACTCCCAACCTCACCCCTCCCCTGTTCATCATCAGCTTCTCAGTGGAATTGTTCCCATCTTCCTTTGTGACCACAGCTTGGCCCCAGGAAGCTGATCCTCTGACAATCTAGACTCCAGGTCCCAGAGGCCAAGAGACTCCCTCCCCAGACGCTCTGCCTTGGCCCTGATGCTCACCAGGGCGTGGAGGCCGGTACCCAGTGCAGCCGATGCGGGGCCGCCTCTGCCAGTACAGGTCACAGAAGAAGGGCTTGTCGTTCCAACGACAACACCAGTTCTGCGCCTCCAGCTCCTGGTCTGTGGAGAACAGTGTATGGGGGGTGGAGGCCCTGGAGAGCCAGTGAGGAGGTCTGATGGGGCAAGATGGCATCAGTGGCAAAACCATGGCTTTGGAATCAGGCATGGCACAGTTGCCTTTCTGCCCTGCTCAATGAGCTTTGGGGATAGACATAGTACTAGGTCCCTTGCAGATGTGTTGGGGCCACTACACAGTAGGGCAAATGGTAGAAGCTCTCAAAGAGGTAGGAATGGAGAGGGCATGGCTTACAGTGTGGGGAGGAGCAGGCAGGAAGGCACAGGGCAGACAGCCTACACTGCCCCCTCCACACTCCCTTGTGCTCTCTTGGAGAGAGGGTCTTTGCAGGGAGCTGACTTCCTCCAAATAGCCTGCTGAGGTAGGCCCAGAGGGACAGGGTCAGACTAGGTCCTCTTCCCTTCCCTGAAAGATGTCCCCACTCCAGGCGAGGGCCATGGGGCCAAGTGGATATGGAGCAAGAGGCACTCAGTCATAAAAGGCTACATCAAATGGCCAGCAGAGAGGAAGCTTCCTAAATTCCCAGGATCAGAGGATTAGGGCAAGAAGGAAGGAGCTGGGAAGGAATGGGGACCTGGGGCTGCATTCAGAGGGTCCCAGGCTTGGCTTGGAAGAGCAGTAGGCTCCAGAGCAGGTGGGGTTGAGACCTCCTGGGACACACATACCAAACTGCCAAGGATTCTGCATGCCCCGGCCTTCTCGGAGCTCTCCCCAGCGCCCATAGCTGCAGCACACGCCCCCTCGCCGGGAGTGGAAGCTGCACAGCTGCCTGCCGTTCAAGTCCCACGAGTCTGCAAGGAGATGCCCTCAGGCCCAGGTTGTGGAGGGGCAGGGATGGGCAGGGGCTGTGGGGGCGGGGGAGGAGGTGTCACCTGTGCCAATGGGCTGGAATCGTAAGTCCCACCGTCCCTGCTGCCAGGAGCAAGGGCAGGAAAGCCGGCTCCAGCCCCAGCTGGGCCACTGAGGCTGGCTCCTCAACCACCACAGGCACTTGAGGCGGAAGTTGGGCCTCTCTTCCCTGTGGAGTTCGTAGAACTGCAGCCCCCGGACACCTAAAGAAGCAAGAGAAGCAGGGGTCATCCCGGGCGGGGCCACAGGCTTGGCTTAAGTTTAGGGTCAACTCAAATTTATGACTGCAGCTGCCCAGGCTGCTCCCTGCCTCTCTGGGCAGCTCTTCCTGAGAGGGGACCCACCCCTGTAAGCTCCAACAACTCGCAGTTCCCCCAAACTTGTTCCTCCTCATGCACCCTATGTCTCAGGCAGGGACATGTCATCTATCTAGCCATGCTATCTGACACTCGGCCTTTATGTCACCTGCCTCCTCCCCCCAGCACAGACCCTTCAGTAGCTAAAGCAGCCAAGACAGAGGCCAATGGGCAGAAGTCACCTGGAAGCCATAGAGAAGTTGGCATGTGAAGTGAGAGCTTACACCAACACCAAGGGGCTGAGGAAGCCTCCTAGGGCCCAGACACCATCTTTGGAAGGGAAATAACTGAAAGAAACCTTGATGGGGTATAAATTTCAGACCTTTAAATCATTGGAAGTAAAATGCTGCCCATCCCCAGGGGCAAGGTGAGAAGGGGAATCTAGAGTCCAAAAGAACATATGACATAGTGTATGAGATTTTGACCACGTATCCACTCAAATAAGAAATGATCAGATCACTACACATTGTTGAGGTTTGGGAAAGAATAATTGTCTATGCTGATCTGTACACGTGTCTTCTCCATGTGCCCTGTTGTCAGGAGAAACACATGGATTACCTCTTCCCCAGTGTGCACACACACACACACACACCACAATCACAGGGAGGTCACAAGCAGATGTGTCTTCTTTATAGAAAGGCCCTGATATGACAGGGCAGCTCCGTCCACAACATGGCACCTATCTGATTTGTCTTAGCCTGTGTTTCTCGTTGCTAAAAGTCTCTGTTCCAGAACAGACAGAGTTAGGTTTGCACTCCAAAGTTTACCTGGCTTATTTCTAACCCAACACATTCTTTGCTCTATCACATTTTGGAAGTTGTCATTTCCTTCCTGTTGGGGTCTCCGTAGGTTACACTGAGTCATGGAGGAGGCACCATGGTTTGTCTATGCATAGATTTTTTTTACCTGAGTGAAAGCTCTTTGAAAGCATAGTAGGTCTCTCCGCCCCCACCCCGTTTTCTGCTTTGTGGCTGTTAGAAGTGTCCAGCACACAGCAGGTTCTCATGAGTGTCGGCTGAATGAATGTCAGAACTCTGGAACTCCTTTCGGTAGATTATGTTAAGGAATCATCTGGGCTCTCATTCCAGGTCTAGGACAGGACACTATGAGGGTTCTCCTGAACCCATGCCTATCCTCACCTTCCTCACTCCAGGGTCTCAGCGATGAGTGTCCTGGGTTTGGCAACTCTGATGGGGCAGACTGCTCTGTGTCTAAGGAATGAGAGGTACTAGTTGCTTTCTGGGCAGTGCCAGGTCTGGAATATATCTGTAGGTAGTCAACCTGTGTGGGGTGCTCTTTGGAGTGGTGGAGACGTTAGGGAGCTGCCTTCTAGGATGTCATGGCATACGGAGTAGAGGGCAAGAGAAGACTGAGGTCAGCTCACGTGTGATAGTTGGCACTTTTACCTAATTTGGGATTCAGGAATTGATCCGGACGGTACTTCTCCCACGCTGGCCGGAATGTCAGTGGGCTGTTTTCAAAATACCCATCTCCACTGCAGGCAAAGGAAAGACTCTTAGGTCTGTCTGTGTCACACACAGGCTCTGTCCTCTCAGCTAAAGTTACTCTTCACTTGGGCTGGCAGAGTGGTTTGAGTGTCATAGTGCCTGCCTAGCTAGTGTGAGGCCCTGAGTTCAAATCCCAGCATTGCCCCCCCAAAATTAAAATAAAATAAAGTTACATTCACTCAGCATTCAGTCTAGCTAGTCTGCAGTCGGCAGCTGGCAGCCTATTACTGAGTTGGCCAGTACTGAGAGAGGGGAGGGGCTCTGCCTTATTCCATGTCTGATTGCTGATGGCAAGAAAGTAGCCACGAGATAGAGGGATGTGAACAACAGGGTTCAGGCCTCCTTCTTGATTGTTTTCCTTAAACGAGGGGAGTGGAAAGGAGTACTGTAGAGGACAGAATATTGTGATGGTGCAGAGCTGGTCTTGAGTTAGGCTGTCATAGATTTAACTGCTGATTCCAGCCCTTACTAGGTTGGTGGCTATGGGCAAGATACGTAACTTCTGATTCTTGGTTTTCACATCCAGGTAAAAGGGATTGCGGTAGCATTTACCTCACAGCATTGTGGGACCTCAATGCAGTAACATTTGTAAATCCCTCAGAACCAAGTGGAGACCCAATGTAATGGTGCTGCCACTTCCACTGTCTTCAGTATGGGTCTAGGATGGAGGGAAGCCTGGAGCAGCAGTCCCACACTCACTGCAGGTGTGTGCCACAAAGCAGGGATCCTGATGCTTGCTCCTCTGTCACACAGGGTTGTTACACACACAATGCCTGACACCTCTGTGAGGTGTGAAATTCCTAGCTAGCTAGGTAATTCCACTCTTTTCTCTTTTACAGAACATCAAAAAGCAAGGGAAAGCAATGTAATTATAGGGCACCCTTACACACCCTAATGTAAAAGAAAACCATTTGCAGCAATTACCAGTAAGGGAATGACGCATTACCATCACAGCTGATTGCCACACACCAGCATGTGGCTGGAAAAACTGGTCCCAGAGCCTGAGGCTCTCCACCCACAGGAACCCACCCACAGCGCAACCTTCCGCAGCCCCCTTCCCTCCTCCCGCCCATGACATCTAGGCTGCAGGATATCCCTTGGCAAGTGGGCAATTCCTAGGAGTCAGGAAGGCAGATTCTAGCCTCAGATGAGTGGGTTCAAATCCCCCCTTTGCCTCTTCTGAACTGTGAGTTTTGTACCTCAGTTTCCTTATCTGTAGAATGGGGATCATATATAGTATACACCTCATAAGTGATTGTGATAATCAACAAAATAAGGTATATATAACATACTTAGCATAATAAAAGTTGGCCGTTATTATTATGGTATTTCAGAGGTCAAGAGAACTTCACTAAAATCAATGGAAATTGGGGAGATCAATGTGGAAATTATTACAATGCATAGGATTGGGATAGGAAAGACGGCAGGACTGCTGGGGACCCTTTCACTGGAGACAGAAAGCTGAGAGGCTCTGCGGGAGCTGGAGTCAGTGTGTGCCACACTCCAGCAAGGAGGAGCTGTGCCTCACCTCAGGGATGGGAGTGTGTGTGCAGGGAAGCATGTTCTGTGCCCCTCCCTGTTACCAGTTCAGTACTGCTAGCCACTCTCACTCCACCTGGAGAAACCCATGATGACCGAGTTGTGCAGACGCTGGGTCACGTCCCACTGCATCGCACCACTCTGGTAGAGAAACAAGGCGTAGGACCTGCTCCCGTCCGTTGAGAGGATGACTTGGTAGGTGTTGGTCTGGGGGTTGGTGGGAGACAAACAGAGATTCCTATGACAGACCTGGGATCTTCTCCCTGGTGTCCCCACACTGGTCCAAGGTTTATTGTTTAGAGATTTGGTCCTCAGGTTGGGTTTATTGAGAGGTGGTGGATCCTTTAAGAGGTGGGGCCTGGTGGGATGTCCTTAGATCATTGGAGGCATCAGATAGTTCTTGAGTGACCCCTTGAGTTCTCTTGAGAGGGTTATTACAAAGAAGCCAACGTGACGCCAGCCATGCTGCTCCCACCCTTGCTCTCCCTGTTATGAGGTGATAACTGCCAAGGAGCCTGTGTAATGCTGCTTAGACTTTCACCCTTCAGAACTATGAGCTAAATAACCTTTTTTCTTCATAAGTAGCCTGTTTCCAGTGTTATGGCAACAAAAATCTAATAACATAAGCCATTTGAAATTGCCAATAGCCAGACTTTTTTTTTAACCAAAAAACCGATTTCCTATTTCTGGGCTTCCATGGGGTTATGTCCATGAAGGGAAGAGGCAGGCCTTGCACTGTGCTTGCACAGAGTGCAGTGGGGGTGGGGGTGGGGTTGCTATAATTAGTAATCTTTTCTTGAGTTAGCTGTCCATGGTCCACTCACCCCCAAGGTCCACTGGGCAGGATAGGGAGGCACATTGACCCATGTGACCTTCAGGGTCCACTTGGCTTTGAAGCTCCTTGCACTTGTGAATTTATTTATCCAAGTCTCCACCTGCCAGACTAGTGAGTTGTATTCGTCATACAGTGTCTCATATTCCTAGAAAAGAAAGGCAGATAAGAGCAAGGAAATGAGGGTCTCTCTTAATACTTCTGAGGAACCCCCACCTTCCCTCACCAGGGCCTGAATTTTTACGAGAGTTCTTACCTTAAGATCAATTCAAATTTGGGCTGCAGGAAAACCTGGGGTATGTGGACTAGGAGTGCCCCAGCCAAGTCCCCTAGACTTGAACTGACACATCTCTTAGCTCAAATTGGCTCAGATGGTGTGACCATGTTTCCATTTTTACCTCCCAGTGTCTGACTTGGGCTCCTTAAGGACAGGCAAGTGTCTCCCCATCTTTGAAGCCTCTGCAGTGCCTTGTCCAAGGCAGGGACACAAAACACATTTGCTGCAGTAGCTTTTCCTGATGTGTTTCTACTGTCTGGAATTATTAACCCAATCCAGGGGCACTGAGAAACTCCAAGCCTGCTTGTCTCAGACTTGTTAGGACCGACCTTCTACACCTAATTTTAAGACCAAATGCTGAGTTGCCAGTCTTTATCCCTGTCACCTGCAGGTCTTCATGGTTGGACTGGGATATTTCTGAGTCTATTTAATATTCCCTATTGACTTCCTCCCTATCCCATAATTAAGCCTCAGTACCTGCCCACAAGAGCCCAGGCTGAGACAGCAGCAACACTTCTAATGCCTTCTAACAGTCCTTGGTCTCCCCCTGGCAGGTTACTGGGGGCTCCTGACAGTCAAGCTTGAAAACCCACCTGGTAAAACATGGTTCCCCTATAGCTGGAGAAATCTGCATCATCCCAGAATGGAGCCACCATGGCCACAGGGTCCCATCCTGTGAAGCATCTTGTGGGTGGGTTGGGGTAGGAGAAAATATGATAGTCTGACTCTGGGAAAATGATCTGGCCATTATCTGTGAACTGAGCACAAGGGTTCTTGGTTAGCATTCAAGGAGGGAGGAGGTGAGGAGATGTCCCAACCCAAGGGACAGCTCTTCAGAAGTGATACCCCTAAGAGCTTCTTCTGCCTTCTGGGCAGAAGGTTAGAGGTGTCAACAATGCCTGAAAGGTCACCTCAGATACTTCCAGCCTTCTGGGAGATCTCTTTACCTAGTAACCTGGGTAACTGTGTCCTACCTCAGTGGTAGAACCCTGGCTATAGCCCTGCCCCTCATGGAGGAAAGCCTTCTTGATAAAGCCCCTTCCCCACATCAGGTGACATCAGGTAGGGCTAAAGAAATTGATATCCTTACTCCTATTGCTGAGTTGCTGACTAAAGCCCCTCCCTGAGAGCAACAGGGGCCAGGACTACTATTCCAAGTCTACTATGGAGACACAAATCAGGGAACAAGGAAGTAGTCACAGAAAATGGAAATACATGCACCAGTCAAGTTTCCCAAGTATCACTTCTCACCCTGATCTCTTTATACTGAGGCGAGGACATTTTTGTTCACACAGGAAGTGGGGGGGGGTTGCTTCAGTCTCTTTTTTCACAGCTAGAGCCTTGCCATTAAAGAAGGCTGTAAACAAAAAGACAGTGCCTAACAAAGATGGCTTCCATTCTCCCTTTCTATCAGTCACGGAGCCATGTCCAAGCTGGCTAGAGAAGCAGGGCCAAGATCACAAGTCTGGCCACGTGGGCTGCAGCCAGAGACTCACGTAGAGGGAATCCCGTAGAGAGGAGCCAAAGGGGAAGCCAATCTGGAGCTTGAAGAGTCGAGAGGTAACGTCCACAGTCCTAGCAAACAATTGCACGTCTCCAGCACTTGACCCGTAGGGGAAGAGGGGAACGCCTGAGCCAGTACAAAGAACAGTATGGAGTCCTTCTGAACCTTGACCTTCTTTCAGGCTCAGAAGGATCCCAGAAAGCTTCCCTAAAATTTGCTCCTCACCCTTTCCTCTGTTCCTCAGAAGGCTCCAGTAGGTCCTGACTAAGAGCCATCAAGGGTTCTTCTCTCACATTTAACCATCACTCCTTTACTCCATTTACTGTTACTTTTATCATCCCCCAGTTGGGATTAAAACAAGTCTTGATGTCAGAATTCCAACAAACTATTCTGCATCTGTTTTGGTGTCATAATTCTTCTCAGGATTAAAAGACAAATCAGGTGCAGTGAAGAGTATTAACTGAAAGACCTTTTCATAGACTGGGACTTGTTTCCAAAGACAGTATTTCTCCAGAGAAACTTGAAGCCCCCTAGAATTTGTCCTAGGGCCACCAAGAGGTCCTTGGGGTCCAGTCTGAGAAAGGTTATCCTAAGTGTTTCTCAAATGTGTCTCCCTTATACTGGTAGCCACTGACTCATTGGGGCCCATGCCTGGCCTTGCTTGGAATACTGTGAAGAGTCTCTCCATAGCCCTCTGCCTCTTCACTAACTACCCACCCCCAGCCACCATAGTACCACGCATAAGATACAAATCTAGCTGTGTCCTCCATGGTTCTCCTTAGCTCCAGGACTCTCACCCACAGAAGCCTCCTTCTCACTACTTTCACCTTACTTCCAGCAATGCCAAATGCCTTGAGGATCTCCTCTGCATGCAACTCAGGGCCTACTTTTTCATGTCCATGCCTTTGTTTCAGCTGCTTAGAAACTCAGACTCCTCCCTGCCTACGGTGCTGCCCTCCCCTGGCTCCTATTTGCTTTTGTCATGAAGGTTGCTGTTCACCTTCCACATCCTTCAGAGGCTATGAACATTGGGCTTGAACCTACAGGACCACTAGTCTGTCCTTTGATGAATGGCACCAACATCACTTTCGTATCTCCAGCTCCTAGTCCAGCACCACGCTCAAAGCCACCTTTAGCTCCCAACTCTGATGCTGTCTCTTTGTCCCCAGGTAAAGCCCTTCTGATCTTAGAGAGCAGAGACTGTGAGCAAGCAGTCTGAGTTTTATACCACTTGTCTTAAGAGAATATGGGGAGCAGCTGGATTTCCCATGGTTCAAATGGGATGGTGAAGGTATGCAGAGAACTGGTTCCCTCAACTCCACACAAGGCCCTTCCAATGCAGTACTCCAACTATAACCTCTATGTCTAGCTCAGATGCAGGGTGGAAAGAGCCCAGTCCAGTGGCATCACTCACCTTGCTCTGGCTTCACAGGGCGTGAGGTAGTGGCAGAGCTCAAGCCTGCGGTTGTGCCAAGAGTAGAGGTTGTAAGTGTCACTGTGCTTCCTCCAGTGTTGGGACTCAGGGAGCTTGAAAAAACTCCTGGAAATGGAAGTATAGGAGACGTGAGTGAGACATAGAAACAAAGAATAGCAGAGTCAAAGAGATTCAGAAAGTAAGGGCCTAGAAGAGACAGAAGAAATTTTTGGTATGAATGCTAATCACCTCCAAACCACAACCTACATAGGTACCCGTAGCAAGAAGAGAAGGAGAATAGGTCACCCATTACGACAAAACTCATTAACCTTTCTGGTGAATCTCACCTCAGCCCCTACAAAAAACACTAGGTAATTATTTCACCTGGAGGCCATGTCCCCTGAGAGACGGTCTCTGTGAGAGTGTATGCACTTGGGGAAGATGAAAAAGTTGAGGTGGTCACTTCTGTGGGAGGCCTAGTTTGAGACTGACTGGTGGTCTCCATACTTTGAATCTGGGTGCTCTGAGAAAGTGCAGATGATTCCTGAGTAGAGGTGCTGGGTCTTTCTCCTGTTGATAGTCCATTTGATGAAGGGGTCATCGAGACTCCTGAAGTGATTGCAGTGAGACTGCCAGTTACATATGTGGAAATGTCCCCTGTGCTTTCTGGAGTGGAGCCTGTGGACATTGTGGTGAGCCCCTCAGATGTGGCTGAAGGTGTGTTGCTGACACTGGATGAGGATGAGGTGGTCTTTTCACCTGTAGGAGATGTCTTCTGAGAAACAGTCTCTGTCTTTGTGTGTCCACTTGAGGAGGATGAAAGAGTTGAGGTGGTCATCTCAGTGAGGGGCTCAATTTGAGACTGGCTGGTGGTCACCATTTTTTGAGTCTGGGTACTCTGAGAAAGTGTAGATGAGTCCTGAGAAGAAGTGCTTGATGTTTCTCCTGTTGATACTCCATTTGATGCAGGTGTCATTGAGTCTCCCGAAGTGACTTCAGTGAGACTTCCAGTGGTATGTGGTGATGTGTCCTTTGTGCTTCCTAGAGTGGTTTCTGTGGACATTGTTGTGGTGAGCCCCTCAGATATGGTTGAAGGAGTGTTGCTAACACTGGAGAAGGATGAGGTACTTGTTTCACCTGTAGGAGATGTCTTCTGAGAAACAGTCTCTGTCTGTGTGTGTCCACTTGGGGAGGATGAAAGGGTTGAGGTGATTACCTCAGTTAGGAGCCTGGTTTGAGACTGGCTGGTGGTCACCATGCTTTGATTCTGGGTACTCAGAGAAAGTACAGATGATTCCTGAGAAGAGGTACTTTGTCTTTCTCCTGTTGATAGTCCATTTGATGCAGGTGTCGTTGAGACTTCTGAAGTGAGTGCAGTGAGACTTCCAGTGGTATGTGGTGATGTGTCCTCTGTGCTTCCTAGAGTGGTTTCTGTGGACATTGTTGTGGTGAGCCCCTCAGATATGGTTGAAGGAGTGTTGATAACACTGGAGAAGGATGAGGTACTTGTTTCACCTGTAGGAGATGTCCTCTGAGAAATAGTCTCTGTCAGAGTGTGTCCACTTGGGGAAGATGAAAGACTTGAGGTGGTCACTTCTGTGAGGGGCCCTGCTTGATATTGACTGGTGGTCAATATACTTTGAGTCTGGGTACTCTGAGAAAATGTAGGTGAATGCAGAGAAGAGGTGCTTGTTCCTTCTGCTGTTGATAGTCCATTTGATGCAGGTGTCATTGAGACTCCTGAAGTGATTGCAGTGAGACTGACAGTTACATATGTGGATGAGTCCCCTGTGCTTCCTGGAGTGGAGCCTGTGGACATTGTTGTGGTGAGCCCCTCAGATGTGGCTGAAGGTGTGTTGCTGACACTGGATGAGGATGAGGTGGTTGTTTCACCTGTAGGAGATGTCTTCTGAGAAACAGTCTCTGTCTTTGTGTGTCCACTTGGGGAGGATGAAAGAGTTGAGGTGGTCATCTCAGTGAGGGGCTCAATTTGAAACTGGCTGGTGGTCACCATTTTTTGAGTCTGGGTACTCTGAGAAAGTGTAGATGAGTCCTGAGAAGGAGTGCTTGATGTTTCTCCTGTTGATACTCCATTTGATGCAGGTGTCATTGAGTCTCCCGAAGTGACTTCAGTGAGACTTCCAGTGGTATGTGGTGATGTGTCCACTGTGCCTCCTGGAGTGGAATCTGTGGAAGCTTTGACAGTGAGCCCCTCTGACGTGGTTGAAGGTGTGTTGCTGACACTGGATGAGGATGAGGTGGTCTTTTCACCTGTAGGAGATGTCCTCTGAGAAACATTCTCTGTCAGTGTATGGCCACTTGGAGAGAATGAAAGAGCTGAGGTGGTGACCTCTATGAGGGGCCTAGTTTGAAACTGACTGGTAGACTCCATATTTTGAGTGTGGGAACTCTGAGAAAATGCAGATGATTCCTGAGTAGAAGTGCTGGGTCTTTCTCCTGTTGATAGTCCATGTGATGCAGGTGTTGTTGAGACTCCTGAAGTGATTGCAGTGAGACTGCCAGTTACATATGTGGAAATGTCCCCTGTGCTTCCTGGAGTGGAGCCTGTGGACATTGTTGTGGTGAGCCCCTCAGATGTGGTTGAAGGTGTGTTGCTGACACTGGATGAGGACGAGGTGGTTGTTTCACCTGTAGGAGATGTCCTCTGAGAAGCAGTCTCTGTCTGTGTGTGTCCACTTGGGGAAGATGAAAGAGTTGAGGTGGTTACCTCAGTGGGGAACCCAGTTTGAGACTGGCTAGTGGTTACCATACTTTGAGTCTGGGACCTCTGAGAAAATGTAGATGAATGCAGTGAAGAGGTGCTTGTTCCTTCTGCTGTTGATAGTCCATTTGATGCAGGTGTTGTTGAGACTCCTGAAGTGATTGCAGTGAGACTGCCAGTTACATATGTGGAAATGTCCCCTGTGCTTCCTGGAGTGGAGCCTGTGGACATTGTTGTGGTGAGCCCCTCAGATGTGGCTGAAGGTGTGTTGCTGACACTAGATGAGGATGAGGTGGTTGTTTCACCTGTAGGAGATGTTTCTGAGAAACAGTCTCTGTCTTTGTGTGTCCACTTGGGGAGGATGAAAGGGTTGAGGTGGTTACCTCAGTTAGGAGCCTGGTTTGAGACTGGCTGGTGGTCACCATGCTTTGATTCTGGGTACTCAGAGAAAGTACAGATGATTCCTGAGAAGAGGTACTTTGTCTTTCTCCTGTTGATAGTCCATTTGATGCAGGTGTCGTTGAGACTTCTGAAGTGAGTGCAGTGAGACTTCCAGTGGTATGTGGTGATGTGTCCTCTGTGCCTCCTAGAGTGGTTTCTGTGGACATTGTTGTGGTGAGCCCCTCAGATATGGTTGAAGGAGTGTTGCTAACACTGGAGAAGGATGAGGTACTTGTTTCACCTGTAGGAGATGTCCTCTGAGAAATAGTCTCTGTCAGAGTGTGTCCACTTGGGGAAGATGAAAGACTTGAGGTGGTCACTTCTGTGAGGGGCCCTGCTTGATATTGACTGGTGGTCAATATACTTTGAGTCTGGGTACTCTGAGAAAATGTAGGTGAATGCAGAGAAGAGGTGCTTGTTCCTTCTGCTGTTGATAGTCCATTTGATGCAGGTGTCATTGAGACTCCTGAAGTGATTGCAGTGAGACTGACAGTTACATATGTGGATGAGTCCCCTGTGCTTCCTGGAGTGGAGCCTGTGGACATTGTT